TTGAGGGAGTGCCCATTTCTAATTATTTTTGCAAGGAATGATGGCATAGTGTTTTCTGCCGTTGAGGCTAATGAGAGGGTACGAGGGAATCACCCGGATTTCCGCGATATGTGAAACACGATTACATAAGCCCTCGCGATTCATTCATCAAGGCGCGGTTTGAGTTCCCACGTGCTTGTGCCCGCGTCTGACACGCGTTTTCCGTATCGGCACCCACCTCGGTAGGCTGGGTGCGCCGGATCCTGAATTTCACGATGCTCGGGTTCGGTGCGCCTCGGCCTTAGTCAGCGCATTACGCAGCGGTTGGAGCCTGATGTGTTTCCTTACGCTGTTGGGCAGGGCGCACTTTGCATCGAAGGCAAGGCCGGGAATGATGACGTGTGGCAGCTTATAACTGTGGCCGATCATAAATCAACTCATCGGTGGAAACCAATGCTCCGTATGCTCAAGAAAGAAATACCAGCGGAGGTACACTTCGCTTGTGTGGTACAGTTCTGGACGTAGAGTGACGCAGAAAAGGTGAGCATCATAGGTACTTAGTTGCTCAACTGGTCTTTGGAAGGGAGCATCAAATCTCCTGGTCAGAGATACGTGATTGAACTCTGAACAAAAGCCAATTTTTTGTTCGGTATAATTGGGCTATAGTGACTTGTGAAGCGATCATTTCCTTACCGATGACTCAATGCCATGATAAGTTTTCCCGTCCACTGCCTACTTAAGGTAGCCAGAAAATCAAGATCCAACTGGCCTGCCTTGAGAGACAAAATAAAGTGCCTTCTCAACAAGTTTTAGGATTATGACGGCGTGTATGGTTTTGGGTCATGGAATCCTGTAGAATCGATTACAAATTGACTGAATACCATGTGTGTTGGAATCATTTGGTCATAATACTTGATGTAAGCATTGTATTGGTAAGTGATGGGAAGCCCTGGCAAAGGAAGTTGACTGATTCTCTTTACTCTCGTTAGAAGACGATAGGGACCGTGGGCAAATCCCACTTTGTACGGGAAACGGAACCTAATTGGTTGTTGATGACATTTGAAAATTTCCGGCTCGCAAAAAATTGACAAAATTACGAAAAAGGAAAGGCTGAGACCAGGACACCGGGAGCAGCCGTACCCGCGCGCGTGTCAGACGATACAAAATATCACCGGCTGATCATACTTGATGTGGTAATCACCATGTCTATTGGTTGATCGATGAGTTTCGACCATGAGTGAGTGTTGACTATAAAATACATCAGCCTCGCACCAATGCGATTGGGTTGGGAATTCAAACACGACAAGTTCTTAAGTTCGCTTAACATTGATCAAGAATCGTGACGATGATGAAACTGCACCAGATACTCCTCGCTGGCGGTATTGGCCCTCTTTTGGCCACAGCCAATAATTTGAACTTTGATTTCCCATATAACTCGTCGAGCCCTGTGCCCTTCACCATCTCGGTAGATGAAGCGTTTATCGAAGAAACTCAGTCCAAAGTAAAGCTTTACCGGCTTTCTCCTGACCTGAAGGACGACAGCAACTACCAATGGAATGAAGGCCCTCCCCAAAAGGATATGGCCTGGCTGAAGGATGAATGGACCAACAATTTCGATTGGACTGAAGTTCAGGAAGAAATTAACAGCAACTTCTCCCACTACGCCATCACCTTGCAAGGCCCTTCAGACTTCAATCATCCAGTCCCGCTCCATTTTGTTCATGAGCATTCGACAAATCCTGAGGCTGTTCCGCTTTTACTCCTCCATGGATGGCCTTCTACTCATCTTGAGTGGTACAAAATTATCGAGCCCCTTCTATCCGGCTCCGGCGCCCCTGATAACATAAGTTTTCACCTTGTGATTCCAGATTTACCAGGATATGGGTTCAGCCCCGCGCCAGAGTATTCTGGCCTTGGCCCTGCTCAGATGGGTTTTGTATTTGATGCTCTAATGAAAACATTGGGCTACGAAAAGTATGGCTTAGTTTCTACTGATCTTGGATGGGTGGTGGCAAGTTGGATGGCAAATATCGTCCCCGACAATATTATTGCGCATTTCTCCGATTTCTTTCTCATGTCTCCAAATTCCACAGACCTCGAGCGCTTTTCAAAGAACGAAACAACCCAGGAAGAAAGTGATTACATTCAAGCTATAGGTGTCTGGTCTACTACGCGTTTCAGCTATTCTACAGTGCACCAGCAAGCACCCCTGGCCATTGGCCAGGCTATGGCAGACTCTCCTGTTGGATTTGCAGGCTGGGTTTGGCATTTAAAGTACGCAGTTAGCGACGGGTATGATTACACAGCCAAGGATCTCATCAGGGATACCATGATGCTGTGGATCCAAGGTCCCTGGGGAGGTCTGAGATCATACAAGGAATTCTTCAAGGTGTGCAATATATTTCCCAGGCAGAGACTTGTGCTGACAGATTCATACCAGCCGTCGGCATTTAACTTCCCTATGTCTCAGGTTCCAACCGGAGTGTCACAGTGGGCCGCGAACAATATCGATGGTCTTCATAGTGTCAACTTTGCGGTAGGGAAATTTGATACCTCCACCAACGTTTTCAGTTGATTGCTAACTCCATATAAGCCTAGGGACTGGATGGCCAGATTGGTAAACCTGGTCAAGGTGTTTCAACATGAAGCTGGAGGACACTTTCCGGCGATTAATGCACCTGATCTTTGGGTCCAAGATGTGCGCCAGTTCTTTAATGGCATTATCACCGGTGCCCTCTAGACCTGCCACTAAACAGACAGATTGCGTACGGAATACTCGCAAGAATCAGGGCAACACGTCTTAAAGACAACCCTGAATGGAAAGTGATTATCTGACCAATTCAATGATTGCCGCAGCGTCGACTTGGGGGCTAGAGGCAGTTAGGTATCTCGGCTTTCTTCGCAAGAGTTCCTTACAAGTTACATCATAACAAATTATAATGTACTCAGTATAAAGTTTCACATGGCGCGCTTAGTTGCTACAAAGATTGGGGACCGTTGGTGCATCTTAGCGGTGACTTTTGAAGACATGTATGTTAGTAGAAGTAAGTTCACATTGGAATTGGGCTAGATCATCATGTCTACCTAGTCACTCTTCTCCTATCATTACAGAAAATGGCTATAGGCAAGGCTTAAATGCTCCTGTCGCCTTCGATCACAGTCAGCAAGCAGCTTAAATTCTTGTTTGATGAAGAGGAACCAGGCCTTGAAGCTCTGTCGGATTGAGAAAGCGAGATTCGGTGCAACGACATGAGCAATTTCAAGAGTACCTCGAATATATTTAGGTGATTTTCTTTGCCTTATCGCCATTCAGATCAAACTCAAATATTATATCAGCATGGGAACCGAGAAAGTAAAAATTTGAGCGGCTCCCCCTAGGTAGTCCCCGCTAATTCGAAGGTCCTCCGTCCAAAAGTCCAGTCTCTGTTTAGTGCTTATGCTCCTCGTCATCCCCATCCTGGTTCGAGACCCCGGATAGAAACATGTGAGAGAAATCCAGCTCAGCACTGAGACAAATGGGTTGTGATTGGCTAATGATGGAAAATACCCAGTATCTCACACGCAAGCCACACCGCCGCCCAGAGACGGCATCCCACCCCCTCATTCTCTTGAACCATATTCATACATCCATACGTACACATATACCAACTGCAGAGAATACGGGTTCGCAATGTCTGAAGTCACCAAGACCCTCCATCGAAAGAATTACCCTGCTATAGATGCAGCATCCCCTGAGCAGTCGCAAGCAGGACGCAAGGTACTGATCACCGGTGGATCCGCAGTCATCGGCCGCGCTACGGCCGAAGCCTTCGTTACCGCAGGAGCTGACACGGTTGCCATCACTTCTCGGTCAGCAGAAAAGGCGACGAATGTGGCCAAGGAGATCGAGGATGCAGGAAATGGCAAGACCAAGGTAGTGGGATATGAGTACGAGATCAACGACCTCAACTCTGTGAAGGCACTGTGGGATAGCCTGGAACGTGATGGCATCCGGATTGATGTCCTGGTGCTCAACGCTACAGATCTTGTGCCTGCTGCTCCGGAGCGTAAGTGGTTTGCGATGTATTTTCCAATCTTGTCCCCAAGAGGCTAACTCGCGGTTTGTAGCTGAGCAGTCTTTGGAAGGATTTTTCAAGTTTTTCGAGTCTGCTGTCAGAAATCAGTCGATAAACGTTGATCGTTTTCAGAGACAAGGCTCAAAAGAGGGCAAGGTACTGCCTTTTCCCAGAAGAACTTGCTCTCTTCTTAGCTAATAGCTGTTGACATTTTAGGTCCTCATTTACGTATCAACCAATGCGACCCATTTTCATGGACTTCCAATGCATTACACTGCTGCCAGCTCTCCTCGTCTCGCGTTTAACCGAATGCTCTCCGATTTAGCAGTTAATACGCCGGTTGAACAGATGCAAATCCTAAGTATTGTAAGTATATTCAATGGGCTGTTCTACAAACATCAGTGCATTCTAATTTTACGATACTGTAGCATCCTGGATTTGTTCTTACACCGGAGAACATGACCCATGGCTACAAAGCCGATAGTCTAGGAGTTCCATTTGATGACGCATCCCTGCCGGGCAACTTTTTTGTCTGGGCTGCTACAAAGAAAGCCCAATTTCTTCATGGACGCTTTCTATGGACGAACTGGGATGTCGAAGAGCTAATGGCCATGAAAGACAAGTTTGAGGCTGATCAGGGTTTTCTCCGACCGGGCTTGCAAGGAGTAAAATCTCAGGATTTTCCTATGCTTCTTGCAGGAATGGCTCGCTCTGTCTGAGATTCCCGATTTACTAAGATGATTATCTATTCCTTAGTAATTAGGGAACTCGCTCTAAGTTTTAGAAATCTGTGTAACCAGAATAAATACTTGATTTTCGCTGAGAGGACTTCACCCACCCACCAGTAATCCTGGACTCACTGCAAGAAGGTGCTGGGTGTTAATGGTGTTATTTTCCTATACTGTCATTCATTTTTTGTGCAAAGTAGAGCTTATTGCGATGCCAATGTGGAGGAGGCTATCTACTCTATAGCTCCATAAATCCCTTTGCAGACTTGACAAGTTGCTCCGCCAGCTCTTTCGGCATGCTGATAAAGGGCATATGGCCAGCCTTCAAGTGAACCACATCCCACTTGACTCCAGTCTTTTCTAGCCACATGTCCTGGAGGCCAGGAGGAATGCAGCAATCCTCGGATGTGCGCACATAAGTTCGCCTCCCATCAAAAGCCGCATCAGCCCAGGCCGGAGCAGTTGGTGGTGTCTCGAAAGCCAGGGTTGCGTGAGGCGTCATCGAGGCTTCCAACTCTGGAGCTAGAGCTGCATCGCAATCGTTGTATAGGACATCCATCGCAGGTTCGATCACGCTGAGACCTGTAGATGGCTAAATCAGGACGACGTTAGAGTAAGTTGGTGCGACGGATGCGGAAGACTCAGCATGGTACCTTGTCTGTTTTGATGAACGGAGGATAGGCCCCACCAACGGCGGTCTGGAGTGTCTCGCCATCGAGCAAAATATTCCCTGCAATGTGAATCAGACCAATGATACCGCCCGGCAGGCCTTTAGCAGCACGGGTCGTCTTGTCAAGGCCGGTGGCAGCTGCACTGCCGACTGCACCACCGTAAGAATGCGCTAAAAGAATAGCTTCATTTCCTTGCTCAAGAAGAGGAAGGAGAACCCTCTCACGAAGAGTCTCAATGTCTTCTTGGCAGGTCGCTGTAGAAGGGTTGGCGGGGTTGGAGCTTGGGTACGGGCCAGGCTTGGTGCTGAAGCCGGCCGCTTCAAGATAAGGAACGAGTTTGTCATATCCAGAGGGTGTGCCGAAAGCACCTGGGATAAGAACGAAAACTGGAGGCATTTTAAGGATCCTATCTGAGGTTTTCTCTTGGTAAACAGGATGGGTGGCCGGTTGTAGCTTCTTGGGCTCGGCACTTGGGCGGAAATAAAGGTTACACTACACACCTTAATGGTTCTACCGGCATATCCGGATGACGATCAACTACGTAACTCAACGTGTTGGTAATCGGGATGTATCCCAGTAATTTCTACACCGCCAATGTCCCTCTTCTAGCCAGTCGGCTATCTATCTTAATACTATGATGGGGCCAAGGAAAACCGTGTCTGAATCCAAGTTCAGTCGGATATAAAACTTGTCCAACCAAAGCACGCCCTCTTCTATAGCATCGCGACCTACCCTATTGCGAGCGCATTCATGCCAGCCTGTGGTTGGACATACACCTACCTTGACTCCAAATGATACGACAGATGAGTCCGACTCCCGAGTTATTAGTCAATAGTGCGTCAATGAAAAAGAAAGCCGAATTCTTCAAAGGGCCATTAATACATGGTAGAAACTATGTGCGGTGCTAATGAGCCTTGCTCTGAAGCAGTCAGACACATACCTGCAACGCTGTGCTTGGTTCATCTATGACAACCCTTTGCACATGATTGTCCCTGTCTCATTTCTTTTTAGATCAGGACCTTCCAATAGTAATAGATTATTCAGTAAAATATTTGCGCAATGGTAGAGCTCATCCACCCTTGATGTTACCAACACTCTGCAGTGGAAGTTTCCTGGGCATGTTCTTGGTAACCATCCATGAAAATCCCATGTCAAATGTTCCACTCCATTCCTTTTGCATCAATTCTATCTAGCAATACCCATACTATACAAACCAGGATCACAGTAATCATTTCTTTCGGGTTAGACTGTTATAGGGTACTGGTCATTTGTGGACCAGAAACAGCGTGTTCCTTCATGGATGAGTTAATCACCACAGAAATCGATTCGCCAAAATGCTGCCGCAAGGCAACGGCAGTTTATGAATTTCCCATTGATATTCCCCATTGCCTTAGAAGACAGACCACAACTTGGAAATCGCATCTCGTGTTCATAAGAACTTCAGACTGATACGATGCGTTCCTTACCGACTTTCTCGCAGAGACATTGATTGTATCATATAAGCCCTAAAATCCGTTCGCTGCGGGGGATCCTTCGCTTATGAGCAAGGATTTGATATGTTAGCGGGTTTCACTGCAACGTTGCGCCATAAACTATCATTCTGGCTCCTGAATGATTAGTGGTGTCTTGTTGGTACGTTCTTGGGGCTCGGCTGAGTCAATCACGAAAGTACATCTCAAAAGTTCATTCTTTGTTATTGAAATTTCATGTATATTGCTAGAGAATACGAGAGAAGGCTGACTAAGGGGCGCCATGCGATGTAGGATTGGGATACGCGTTCACCCTGGCTTGGCTCTTGGTAGTCACGTTGCATCAGGCACTTGGGTCAGTTGATTGGTTTCTGGGGCATTGTGTGGATTTCTTACTTTCGTATGGATTGCAAAACTGCAGGCCAAGGATGATATTGCCAAATTCGGGACTCCTTTGCAATCATGCCTCCGTATTGGTTTGAGAACGAGCATCATTCAGGATGAGCTTCCCATATTAATAGTAGGCCAAGTATCGTCGTATTTGTAATCCTGGTTGTTGCTTCAAGCAATGTAACAATTGATCTGCCGGCCTACTTCCCACTCGAGTCAACAGGGAATATTTCTTCAGATTGTGCACCTGGCAATGCTGTACCGACTACAACCACGCCACGTGCAACTTGGCGGTACAACTGAGAATCGTATCATTGCTGCTGTTGGAGATTCAACTCAAGGCGAATGAAGAAAATGGCTGGCCAACTAGGGAATATCCCACGGGATATAGTTAACGGCGAGAATGTGCAAAAGCCGTCGGAAAATGATGTCCCAGTCAGCGAGCAGGACCTCAGTCGCATCTGGCAATGGAATGCTATCGTGCCAGAGCGTGTCGATGCCTGCGTTCACGACTTGATATCTCAGTCAGTACATCGGCAGCCGGAAGCTCCAGCCGTCTGCGCTTGGGATGGCAGCCTCACCTATAGAGAGCTGGATGACCTTTCAAGTCAATTGGCCTATCGCCTTGTTGGCCTCGGAGTTGGACCTAATATGTTCGTGCCGCTGTGCTTCGAGAAGTCGATGTGGACCACCGTGGCTATGCTCGCGGTGATGAAGGCCGGCGGCGCAGCTGTAGGAATAGACATCACTCAGCCCGAGGAACGCTTACGCACAATCGTGAGCCAGGCCAACCCACATGTGATATTAGCATCAGAGACGCACCGGATCCTCGCTCAAAGGCTGGCTAAATGCACTGTGGTTGTCGTTAGCGAGGGGCATCTGAAGCAATCACATCCATCCCCCGTTCTCGAGCTTCCGAAAATTTGCCCATCTAGTGCATTGTATCTCGTGTATACCTCCGGAAGCACAGGCACCCCCAAAGGAGTCATTGTCACACACAGTAACTTTAGTAGTGCCATTAGGCATCAGAGAGACGCGCTTGGGTTTACCGCTGACTCTAGAGTCTTTGATTTTGCCTCTTATGCTTTTGATATGGCATGGTATAATTTCATCTACACACTATCGGTAGGGGGCTGCTTGTGTGTGGCATCAGAAGATGAAAGGAAGAATGACGTTGCTGGCTGTATTGAACGATATCGAGTATCATATGCCTTTTTTACCCCAACGCTGGCACGTGTTCTGGGAAGAAAAGTCCTCTCGAGGCTCTCGGTGCTTGTCTTCGCTGGCGAACCCGTGCTACCATCAGATACCACGCTTTGCGGACCCAAAGGGCGCACCATAATCTCGTACGGACCTGCAGAGTGCACGCCAGGTTCAACAGTTGCTGAGATTGCGACGATACCAGCAGGACCTGTTATTGGAGAAGGATACGGCGTGGTGACTTGGGTTGTCGATCTAGTTCGTCCAGACAGATTGGTTCCTATTGGCGAAGTCGGTGAGCTGTGGCTGGAAGGGCCTCTGCTCGGTGATGGATATCTGGATGATCCAGAGAGAACGACAATGGCATTTACAACAGATGCCCCCTGGCTCACGGAGGGCGGACCAGTCTGTAGTGGAAGACGAGGCCGTCTCTACAAGACGGGTGACCTGGTGCGGTACCAGACAGATGGCTCATTGGCCTTTGTTGGGCGTAAGGATACACAAGTGAAGATTCGGGGCCAGCGTGTGGAACTTGGCGAGGTGGAACATCACGTCCAGGAACTTCTGAGACGGAGCGAGAGCGACGGAAATGTTGACAAAACCACCCTGACGCGGGCAGTCGCCGAGGTCATTGTTCCCAAAGGCAGTAATACTCCCACACTAGTCACATTTATTTGCCTTGATACTGGTTTTCCTGATGAGGAGTCTCGGAATCAGACCATCCAGAAAATGACCGCTGGCATAGACAAACACCTGGCCAGCAAGATTCCAATGTACATGATCCCGACGTCATACATCCCAATTGACGCCCTTCCAATGACAGCAACTGGGAAGACAGACCGCCGTAAACTACGAGAGATCGGCAGCCTGTTAACCCAGAGGCAACTAGACAGTTTGGGCCAGTCCAGTCACCCTTCACGGCCTGTCAGTACCGACATGGAGAAGAGCCTACAGACTCTTTGGGCGATGGTTCTAGATATCGAAGCAACCAGCATCAGCGCCGACGATAGCTTCCTCCGGCTTGGCGGCGATTCGGTTCGGGCAATGCAACTTGTTGGCGTTGCACGGGAGCATGGCCTATCCTTCTCCGTTGCGGATTTATTCAATCACCCCAGACTCGAGTCACTGGCCAGAATCACTGAGACAAAGACAATATCGCACAGCGAGACTATCCCGGCCTTCTCTCTGTTAAAATCACACCTATCCGTGGAAGATGTGCAGACGCAGGCTGCTGCGATGTGCGGTGTGAACGCCGCCGACATCCAAGATATTTTCCCTTGTACGCCGCTCCAAGAAGGGTTGATGGCGCTGACAGGGAGACGCAAGGGCGACTATGTTGCATCTATTACTCTCGAGCTGGATGAGATGACCGATCCACGACGTCTGCGGAACGCTTGGGAGCAGGTTGCCACCGAAGCTCCCATATTACGAACGAGAATCGTTGACATACCTCGTCAAGGGCTCGTGCAAGTAATACTGAATGAGCATGTGGAATGGGAAACTGTGGATGAGCTTGAGACTTACCTTGGTGATGGCCGACGGAAGGATATGGGATTGGGCACCCGTCTAAGTCGATTCGGCGCTGCATTTGAAGCCTCGAGCTCGAGCCCTCGGTATATGGTTTGGACTATGCACCATGCGTTGTACGATGGGTGGTCAATGCGGTTGATCATGAACGCCTTGAGAGACGCCTATCAGATGAAGCCGATTCCATCTCTTCAACCTTTCCAGACGTTTGTCAAGTATTTAGCCGACACTGAAGAAACAGCAGCAGCATCGTTTTGGAGAACCCAGTTTACAGGATTAGAGGCGGCTCAGTTTCCAGCTATACCGTTGCCAGGATATCACCCCCGGCCGACCAGCAAACTGACGTCTATCATTGAGAGTTTGGAGTGGGGGAACACTGAGATCACTGGCTCAAATCTCATCCGAGCCGCGTGGTCGATATTGATTTCAAACTACACCGGATCTAGCGATGTGATATTCGGGACGACCATCGCTGGGCGTCAAAGCCCTATTGCCGGGATAGAGAGGATTGCTGCTCCCACAATTTCGACAGTGCCGCTACGAATCGTTGCGAACCCCCTGGAGACTGTGGATGAAATTATCGCCAAGGTGCAGTAACAGGCAGTGGATATGATCCCCTTCGAACATACCGGCCTCCAGCGCATTCGCCAAGCCAGTGCCGATGCCCAGGAGGCATGTCGTTTCCAGACGCTCATCGTTGTACAGCCATATGATGAGGACAACGAGAGCAGTACGATTTTCCGTCCCTCATCATTAAGTGTGGATTCCAATATTGAGTATAACGCACTACTTTCGTATGCGTTGGTGGTTGAGTGTCGCCTAGAAGCAAAAGGAATGCGCGTGGACGCAAACTTTGACGAAAATGTCATTGAAAGTACCAGAGTCTCCTTCTTACTGCAGCAGTTCCAGTACATCCTTCAGCAGATATGTGTACAGGAGAATGGAGAGAGAAGGCTTCAAGACGTGGAGGTCACTAACAGCCAAGATCTGGAAACGATCTGGAATTGGAACGACAAACCCTCAGAAAGCATCAATAGTTGTGCACACGACTTGTTTCTCCAGGCGGCTCGCCGTCAGCCAGATGCAGAGGCTGTATGTGCGTGGGATGGCCGACTTACATACGCCCAGCTTGATACGTATTCAAATACTCTAGCCTCCCACCTCGTTAGTATTGGAATAGGGGCAAATGTGAGAGTGCCGCTCTGCCTCGAAAAATCAACATGGACGCCTGTTGCCATGCTGGCAGTGATGAAAGCGGGCGGAATAGCTGTAGGCATGGATATTACGCAACCAGAAGCACGTCTCTGCACTATTGTGAAGCAATCTAAGGCAAAACATATTCTGTCCTCAGCCAGCGCCGAGACACTTGCAAATCGCTTGGGAGACTGTCTAGTCATCACAGTATGCCAGGAGACCTTGAGCAGTCTTCAACGTCAACCGCAGACTCCTCTACCCTTCATTAAACCATCAGACGCTCTCTGCACCCTGTTTACATCTGGCAGTACGGGAACTCCGAAAGGGACAACTCTGACCCACTCCAACTTCAGTACAGGAATCGAACAACAGATACGAGCTTTTGGTATCCAGTCATCGTCCCGAGTGTATGACTTTGCCTCGTATGCTTTTGATTTCGCATGGTCAAATCTCCTGTTGCCTCTATCCGTTGGAGGTACCATCTGTATCCCATCTGAAGAGCAACGAAAAAATGAAATTGCCGAATCTATTAATCAGCTTGGGGCAAACTTTGCCTTTTTCACACCATCCGTTGCTCGGGTCCTTGACCCAAATACTCTCCCGAATTTGAAGACGCTCGTTGTCGGTGGAGAGGCAGTGCAGAGGAATGATTTCTACGACTGGCCGAGCAGAATCAAGCTGCTCAATATCTACGGACCGTCCGAGTGCACAGTAATGGCAACATACACGGATATACGTCCGGGGCAGGAGAATGATGGCACCATCGGCAAAGGAGCAGGCAGCACGACGTGGGTGGTACAGCCGTCTGGTCAAAACCTATCGCCAATCGGTGCTGTGGGAGAGCTGTACCTCGAAGGCCCCCTGGTCGGCATTGGGTATCTTGATGATGCGGAAAGGACAGCAAGTAGCTTTCTTGAGAACCCTGTTTGGCTTTGCCGTGGAGGACCGGGTCATATAGGGCGGCGTGCCCGAGTATACCGCACGGGAGACTTGGTTCGGTATAACCCTGATGGCTCGTTAGTGTTTGTTGGGAGGAGAGATACGCAAGTGAAGCTCCGTGGACAAAGAATCGAGCTCCAGGAGGTTGAGCACCACGTACAGAGCTTGCTGAACACCGATAACAAGAACGGCACCCAGATCGTGGCCGAAGTTATCGAACCGGAGGGAAGCGGAAACCCAACACTTGTCGCCTTTGTCCACACGACGATGAACCACAGCCATCTCGAAGCAGCCGACAAGGAGGCTCACAGAAATGCTGTGCGGAAAATGACAGATGGGATCGAAGATCGCCTGGGGGAAAATGTTCCCGTCTATATGATCCCAACAGCTTTTATCTCGCTACAGAGCTTGCCTATGACAGCTAGTGGTAAGACTGACCGACGACGTCTACGAGAGTTGGGCGCCTCGATGTATTCGGCTCATCGTGTTCAAAGAACTGAGAATGGATATCACCCGCCCTCGACCGAGTTGGAGAATGTCCTTCAAAGAATATGGTCCGAGGTCCTGAATATACCGCTAGAAAGCATAGGTATTGACACAGCATTTACACGGCTCGGCGGTGATTCTATCTCTTCGATGCAAGTCGTTTCGCGCTGCCGAGCCAAGAACATATCTCTTACGACCAGCGATATTCTTGGATCAAAGACTATCGAAAAGCTCGCTCTGTGTTGCAAAGAGGTAAAGCGCAAATCAGTTATGGCTGATGAATCTACCGAAGAGACACTATGGCATCTCTCGCCCATCCAGCAAATGTTCTTTGACTTTCACCCTCAGGGTCTCGGCCACTTCAATCAAAGTTTTATGCTGAAGCTCAAAGCTCCTGTATCTGTAGACGTGCTCTTTGTAGCTCTACAGGCAACCGTGAGTCGCCATCCAATGCTACGCGCCAGATTTTGGCCAGACTCAAGCGGGTGCTGGCAGCAGCTTGTTGTCAAAGACTCGCAACATGCCTTTGCGTTTGAGAGGCATGTGGCTTGCCAACGTAGCGAGGTCCAGGCCCTTGCGAAGGCTCGACAAGAGTCATTGAGTATACTTAGCGGACCTGTATTTGCGGCCGATGTGTTTTCCATCCCTGGAGAGCAGCAGAGTCTACTATTAACGGCACATCATCTGATAATTGACTTGATGTCGTGGCGGATTATTTGGCACGATATCGAGCAGCATATACGAGCCGGCGAAGGAAGCACACTTGCCCCAGAACCAATTTCATTCCAAACGTGGTCTAAAGTGCAGAGACATACAAGTCGAAGCCTCCAACCAGAGCAGGTTCTCCCATCTCGCGTTACCGCTCCCGATTTCAAGTTTTGGGGCGTTAAGCTGGGAGAAAATGATAGTTCACAATGCTGCAGCTATGTCGAGAGTCTGGATGAGAAAACGACTGATTTGTTGCTTGGGCGAAGCAACGACTGCTATCGAACCGAGCCGGTGGATATTCTGCTAGCAGCTTTAACGTATTCGTTTCAGCAGGTATTTACTGACCGTCGTCCTCCTCCTGTCTTCTTAGAAGGCCACGGTAGAGAACCACCCGAAGACTTGCATATCGATCTGTCAGAAACAGTGGGATGGTTTACATCAATACACCCTGTTGATGCCCCCATTGCGGCGGACGAGTCAATTCTTGCGGCTATCAAGTCTGTCAAGGACTATCGGCGGCGAATCCCTGGCAAAGGTCAGCCATACTTTGCATATCGCTACCACACCGAGAATGGCCAACGGGCCTTTGATTTCCACAGAGAAATGGAGGTTATACTCAATTACACTGGAAGATTTCAGCAACTGGAGAGTCATAACGGCCTCTTCCAGCCAGAAGATAGGCTGGATCTGGTATCTGCTATAGAAGAGGTATCTCCAAAGGCGCAGCGCTTCTCTCTGGTAGAGGTCAGTGCAGATATAATGCAAGGCAGGCTGGCTCTTTCGTTCTACATCAACAAGCGCATGAATCATCAAGGCAGACTTGAAGATTGGGCCAAACTAACTCAGCATAATATTAACCTCGCCGTTCACCAATTGGCCAACACTGAGCCTACATTCACTTTGAGCGACTTCAGTCTCCTGCCTACTACGAATCTTGACCTTGAAAGACTGCTAAGAGAGCGCTTGTTGCCGATTGGCGTCAAGTCTTCTGACATCCTCGACATTTATCCCTGTACTCCTGTGCAGGAGGGCATTTTACTAAGCAAAGAAAAGGGGGCGGCTTCATATGCCAACTTTTGGGTTTGGAATTGCATTCCTTCTTTTGACGAAGACTCTGTTTCACCCGATCGCCTGGAAGAAGCTTGGAGATTAGTCGCCCGCCAACACTCGATACTATCAACCATCTTCACTGAGCAGCTTGATGGTGGTGGATTCGTCCAAGTACTTCTCAGTAACCCGCAGTGCCGAGTTGTGCGCATGAATACATTGTCAACACCACCTACGGACGCCTTACTGGAGGTTGAAACCCCAGTGTTCGCAGCTGGACAGCCGAGTTATGCCTTTACTATTGCCTGGAACTCAGATGGCCATGTTGCTTGCAGATTGGACATCAGCCACCTTCTAATTGACGCATCTTCGCTGCACGTTCTACTAAGGAGCCTAGCTAAGTCTTATCAAGGACAAACGATAGAGCGGGCTCCCCAGTTTAGAAACTTGGTGGCACACCTGGGGCACCAGACAAGGCAAGAGAAACTGTCGTTCTGGACTAACTGCTTATTCCAAGCCCGGCCATGTAGGCTTATAACTGCGCCAGCATATGGATCCTTGGTCAACACAGACCGCAGTTCACACGGAATGATTACAATTCCAACAGAAAAAGCTGCGGGAATCGATCTTTTCTGCAGGTCGAAGGGTATAACGCGTTCGGTTTTCCTGCAAGTGGCTTGGTCACTCGTTCTCTCTCGGTATACTGGAATGAGTGATATCATTTTCGGATATATGGCTTCAGGTCGTGATGCACCGATCCGAGATATCGAAAGCATGATCGGACCGTTGATTAATCTACTCATTAGCCGTATTGACCTCAACCAGAGTCTAGACAATATTCTAGTAAAGACTTCCGAGAATTCCATCGAGCAGCTTAGATTTCAACACTCGTCTTTGGCGGATATCCAACACGCATTAAGCATGGGCTCTGAGCAGCTATTCAACACTGCTCTCACGGTGCGGGAGCAGTTTCGTTATGAGAGCACAAGAGAGATCAGATTTGACGAAGTATACGGCCATGATCCGCACGAGGTAAATTCTTGCTCTTGAATGTTAATATCTTGAACTAACAAGTGGTAGTTTGACGTTATCCTGGAGGCTGTGCTGAACGGCAGTGATACGAACATAAGTATCATCTATTCGGAGGCATCCATAGGATCTGTTGCCGCGTACGAATTAGCAACGACTGCGACATTAGCAATCGACTTCATCCTTAGCAATGGCGAAAACTCTCTGAATAGTAAACGGCTTGATACCTCGGAGTATTACCCAACTTTGAACGGCACGAACGGTGAACATAATAACAATTCAGAGGGCGAGCTAGAAGGACTCCAAAGGAGGTTTTTTAAGCACGTCACTGGTACTAGTGACGAAGAAGCGAAAAATTACTGGCGACAGCAATTTTCAGACCTTCAAGGACAAATGTTCCCCTCTCCATCTCCCCAATCATTATCACGCCCTTACAGTGTAGGTAATCACATACACAGCATTGAAGGCTTGCCTCGCCATGAATCACCAATGAGTGTACTCATAGAGATGTCATGGGCAATCTTGGCGGCAAAACGGACTGGCTCAAGGGACGTGATATTCGGAACAGCGGAACAGGGCATGACCTCCATTAACGGTTTAGCTTCGACAGTCCCAGTACGAGTGGTTTTAGACTGGACGGACACCTTGGAAGAGACAGTTAATAAGATGCGACAACAGGCGGAGCAGAGGAATGCGTTTAAGAAGGTTGGGCTCGAGTGTGTTCGAAAAGCTAGTCCAAACGCTGAGGAGGCCTGTCGCTTTCAAACGCTGCTCGTAATGCAGTCGAATGGTAAAGATGGTCAATCTTCTGAAGACGCCCACCAGGATTCTGACCACGAGGAGACTATCAGCTGTCCTCTGGAAATAAGATTTGCAATGCAAACTCAGAGCATGGTTCTGAATTTACGGTTCGACTCAAAGGTTGTTGACGAAGCTCAAGTATCCCGAATCGCATTTCAATTCGAGCACATCCTAAGACAAGCATGTGACCAGACCGGCCGTGCCATGGCGAGGACTCTACAAGATATCAGCACACTCAGCAATCAAGATGTCGCCGACATCTTGCGCTGGAACATGACGATCCCCGAGGCCGACGATACATGTATCCACGACTTGATCTCTAGGACAGCGACCCGCCAACCACATGCTGCCGCGATTTGTGCATGGGACGGAGACTTGACCTATGCGCAGCTGGACTCGCTCTCCACGCGATTGGCTGAGCATTTGATCACTGTAGGAGTAACTGAGGGCTCGATAGTCCCACTCTGCTTTGAAAAGTCAATGTACACTCCTCTGGCTATGCTGGTAGTAATGAAGGCCGGCGGCGCATCACTGGCGATGGATGTGTCGCAACCAAAAGAACGCCTCTGCAGTATTGTTGAGCAAGTTAACCCTGCCATCATCCTTTCATCGGTTGCTGGCGAGGAGCTAGCCAAGTCTTTAGACTGCCGTGCCAGTGTGGTCGTTGTAGGGAGAGAATCTCTATCGCATCTGGCTTCAACCAAAGCTTCGGAACCATTGCCTACAATAACTTCGTCCAGCATTCTATATGTGGTCTTTACATCTGGTAGTACAGGGACTCCCAAAGGTGTTGTCGTGACGCACAGAAATATCAGTAGTGCAATCAAACACCAACAACATATCCTCGGGTTCACGCCTAATAGCAGGGTCTTCGATTTCATCTCGTATGCCTTTGATATGGCCTGGTTTAACTTTATTCATGCGATGTATAAAGGCAGCTGTTTATGCATTGCTTCGGACGAGGAACGAATGAACGATCCTGCAGGCTGTATTGAACGGTATCAAATAACTTACGCGCTTTTTACTCCCACTCTAGCACGTATAATTGGAAAAGCCATGCTGTCAAAACTTGAAGTGCTAGCCCTTGCAGGCGAGCCAGTCTTGTCCTCAGACTTTAGTCTCTGTGAAGATGGAAAGACGGTTGTCGTCTACGGGCCTGCTGAGTGTACACCTGGCTCTACAGTTGCAGTTGCAGTTCCTGACAATGTATCGGCTGGAGCAACCATAGGCAACGGTTACGGAGTGAATACTTGGTTGGTGGATCCTGACGACGAAGACAAGCTGGTATCGATCGGAGAAGTTGGAGAGCTATGGTTGGAAGGTCCTCTCCTCGGTCAGGGTTATCTGAACGACTCAGAAAAGACAGAAAAGCTCTTTATTCAAGATCCTTCTTGGCTAGGATTAGGTGGACTTCAGCATCACGAGCAGCGTGGTCGCCGCTTTTATAAGACAGGAGATTTGGTGCGATATAACTCAGATGGAAGTCTGATGTTCGTCGGACGCAAAGATATGCAGGTCAAGATCCGAGGCCAGCGCGTGGAGCTCAGTGAGGTCGAACATCATATGCGCAGCGCACTTCAGAGGCAAGACGAGACTCACAGTATCATCTCTTCACAAGTACAAGCCTTGGCCGAAGTTATCAGAACGAACAAGGGTCAGACTTCGACCCTCGTCGCATTCGTGTGCGTAACAAATGACAATCTAAACAACGAACAGCCCCAAGACAAGGCGTTGGAGCTCGCAGTCACGGCGATCGAGCGATATCTCGTCGACAGAGTACCGACATATATGGTTCCAGCTGCATTCCTACCGCTAGATATCTTTCCAATGACGGCCACAGGCAAAGCAGATCGGCTCAAGCTTCGTGACTTGGGTGCCTCGATGTATGACAACTACACGAGTATCCAGAACGTCCATCAGAGGCACGTCTCCGCTTCGACGGACTTGCAACGAGTAATCGTAGAGGTTTGGGCAGAAGTGCTCAATGTTCCTTTTGACAATATTTCCATCGATGCACCATTTCTGTCGCTGGGCGGCGACTCAATCGCAGCAATGCAGGTGGTGTCCCGTTGCAGGGCTAGGGACATCTCTGTTACAGTTGGAGATGTACTTCAGTCCAAGACGATTGAGAATTTGGCTGGACGGTGCAAGTCCATGGCAGTCAACCGCGCACACGTTGCAGCCGAAGAGAGCCCCGACGGCCAGGCGTGGCTACTCTCCCCGATCCAGCAACTGTTCTTTGACGCGCACCCTCATGGGCTCAACCACTTCAACCAGAGCTTTGTATTGCGGTTCACTGCGCCTGTTCCAGGAGCGGCCGTGAGAGCAGCTCTGGATGCCGTGGTTCGATGTCACCCGATGTTGCGAGCCCGCTTTCGACAACGCGATGACGGCCAGTGGGAGCAAGTCATACCTGATGCTGGAGCCGAACTACTCGCATTTAAGCATCACTCCGAGATTGAGAGAACTGAGGTACGAGAACTTTCAAAGGCTAGAAAGGAGTCTCTAGACATCTTTGATGGACCTGTTTTTGCAGCAGATCTCTTTTCCGTGATCGGAGAGGACCAAAGTCTGTTGCTAACTGCACACCATCTTGTCGTTGATCTGGTCTCTTGGCGTATCATCTGGCAAAATATAGAACAGCACATCCGAACCGGCACTCTACCAAGCCAAGAGCCTCTCTCATTCCAGAGATGGTGTAGGTTACAGCGGGAGATAAGTTCTTCATTGAGCCCAAGCAAAGTTCTTCCAGTGCCAGTTAGTACATCTGATTTTAGTTACTGGGGGGTTCCGCTGGCCGAAAATGTGGAAGGCGACACTCAAAATCACATCGTGTCCTTGGGAGAAGCGACGACTGCTCTTATATTGAGCAAAAGCAATGAGTGCTTCGCCTCTGAACCCGTTGATCTGTTGCTAGCAGCACTCATCTACTCGTTGCGCCAAACCTTTCCGGACCGCGAAAGCCCTCCCGTTTTTGTCGAAGGTCACGGCAGAGAGGCCTTGGACGACTTTGAAGCTGACCTGTCTGAGACTGTGGGATGGTTTACGACTCTCCATCCTGTACAAATCCCTGGGACACTTGAAGATGGGATCCTGGACACGGTGAAATTTACCAAGGATGCTCGAAGTGTCGTCCCAAACAAGGGACTTTCTTATTTTTCCTGTCGCTATCAGAGCGATGCAGGTCAGCAGGCATTCAGACATCATGACGGGGCAGAAATCACCTTTAACTATATGGGACGATACCAGCAACTAGAGAATACTAATGCTTTGTTCAAGTTAGAGAATAGAGCCAACAGGATTGCTGATAACTCGGACGTTTCACTCAAAGCGCGGCGTCTGGCGCTAATTGAGGTCAATGCTGGGGTGGAAGGCGACAAAATGGTCATATCCATTGCTATCCATAAACTGATGCGCCATCAAAATCGCCTTGCAGACTGGATTAGGTTGTTTGAGGAGACATTGAACACTGCGGCATATGATCTATCTAAAGCCACCCGAACCTTCACTCTGAACGACTTCCCTTTGCTGAAGACAACATATAGGGGCTTAGATCTACTCTTAAATGAGCAACTCTCGGCAGTGGGAATTAGCGTTGACAACGTCCAAGACATTTATCCGTGTACGCCAGTCCAAGAAGGTATGCTTCTCACTCGAAACAAAGCGGCGGCTTCTTATGAAAACTATTGGGTATGGGAATGTTGTTTGAGCAACAACAATTTTTTGAATGCCGGGGCCTTCCCTCAGAGACTTGAGGCCGCGTGGCGAGCAGTTGTATCCCAGCATCCAATACTTTCAACCGTTTTCGTTGAAGACGTGGACAATGGAGGCTTTATACAAGTTGTGCTCCGAAACTCACCAGCAAGAGTAATCCACCTCCACCCGAAACTTGCATCTGCATCTGCCGCAAAACCCTTGCTGGAGATGGAGAGGCCTCGCTTCTCTTCCCGTGAACCCGAGTGTCAATTCACAATTTCTAGAGGTGCAAACGAGGACTTTGCTTGTCGAGTCGACATCAGCCATACGCTCATGGATGCAACATCTATGCAGTTGCTTCTCCAGGATCTCAACAGGGAACTCAGCGGCCACAGCGCAGTAGCCGCCCCTCCATTCAGAGATCTGGTCCAGCACTTGAGTGGTGTATCTAAGTCTGAGCGACTGTCGTTCTGGTTAGCGTATTTAAACGACGTCGAGCCTTGTGAGATTCCTGTATTTGGACCTTCTGGGAAGCTGACAGACCGCTCGTACGGTATGCTCAAACTGCCGGCCCAGGCCAGCGCAGGAGTTGCCGCGATTTGTAGACATCACGGAATCACTCGCTCTATTTTTCTACAAATAGTCTGGGCATTTGTTCTCTCGCAGTGTACTGGCAAGCACGAAGTTTGCTTTGCGTATATGGCTTCTGGAAGAGATGCACCAATCATTGGCATTGAGAGGATGGTTGGGCCCCTGATCAATATGCTTATTAGCCGCGTTGACGTGCGCAAACCACTTAGTGATATGCTGCGCAAAGCTGCCGAGGATACGATAGAGCACCTCAAGTTTCAGCATAATTCGTTAGCTGAGATACAGCACCAGCTGCAACTCGGTCCTAGTCAACTCTTCAACACGGCATTGACAGTTCACGACTCGTCTTCAAGCAATGGCCAAACTGATATGGTGACTTTCAACGAAATCAGTAGCGATGATCAACATGAGGTATATTTGCCCTTTCTTTCATTCTTTACTGATGTTCATTCTGCTAACACGGCATAGTTTGCTGCGCTCCTCGGCGTAGACCTGAATGGACCAAACACGGATATCATGCTCAGCTACCAAACAGATCTGATCGGCCTAACTGAAGCCGAGCACATCTTGCATACAGTTCATATGGCGATCCAGTATCTTCAAAGCCATATGACCAATGAAACTCAACAATCATCATCAATTCGTGGCCCAAGCGTGTCCTGGCAACAAAATGGAGAAAGTACTCAAGATTCCTTCAACCATCAAAGTTTCTTTGAATTTTTCGCTGGGGTCGACGAAGAAAGCGCAACACAATTCTGGCAAACCTACTTGCATGACTCAAAAGCACAGAGTTTTCCTATTAGAAGCGGGATTTCTGTCGAGGGTACCAGCCACCTGCAGCTTGCGAGCTTTGACCACGCTATACATGATCTCCGATGGAACGATCTCGACACCTCGCCAACATACCTCATATACTTGGCTTGGGCAGTTCTTGCTGCTCGTTATACAGAATCCAATGAAGTTATCTTTGCATCACCTATCACTCCACGATATTCCTTGCAAGGCAAGACTGGACAATCCTCCCCGGACACGGTGCTACCAGTCCGCCTTGTTCTGGATTGGGAAGCCACTGTGAAGAAGTCTCTGGACGTGGTAGGTACTGTATCTAAAGATGTGGCTAACTTTGGGAGGATCGGAATGCAACGTATCCGCACAATTACTGGAGGCGAGCATACAGCCGCTGGATTCCAGACGGTTCTAGATGTCGTCCAGCTTGGAGAAAGGAGTCGCCTCGCCCCAACAAGCGAAGAGAATATGGAGCTGTCGCTCAGACTAGAATTTAGACTCGAAGGTGATGGCATGAGGCTAGCTATCTGGTCGCACAAAGCAGCTATTGATCATCGACAAGTCAAGAGGATGGCAGTGCAGTTTGAGCATATCCTTGGACAAATCTGCTCGCCGCAAAACCAAGGAAAGAGGCTTGGGGCTGTCGAAACGATTAGCAAGCAAGACTTGCGTGATATTTGGAGGTGGAATTTAACTATGCTAGAGCCTTTCGATGTCTGTGTTCACGAGTTGATCGCCAAGGTAGTGCGGCTTCAACCAAACGCGCCAGCCATCTGCGCTTGGGACGGGAGCCTGACATATAAGCAGTTGGGCGAGCTTTCAAATCGTCTGTGCTATCATCTTATTGAGCTTGGCCTGGGTATAGGCCAGATTGTGCCCATTTGCATTGAGAAATCAATGTGGGCATCGGTGGCGATCCTGGCGGTTATGAAGGCTGGCGGAGTAAGTTTGGCCTTGGATGTGACTCAACCTAAGGCGCGGCTTGAAGCCATTGTTAGACAAGTCAGCCCCATGATCATGATTTCGTCAGCTGCCAACGAAATGCTGGCCCATGAACTAGAATCAGATGCCACCATCGTGGCTGCATCTGAAGAACAGCTTAGCCGCATACCACCGCCGTCCCCAGACCTAAAGTTGCCCATCGTCGATCCGAGCGATGCCTTGTATATGGTATTTACATCTGGAAGCACTGGAATACCAAAAGGTGTCATGATTGCACATCGCAACTTTAGCAGCGCAATAAAGTATCAACAGGAAGCACTGAGATTCACTCCCGAGTCTCGCGTGTTCGACTTTGCTTCGCAAGCTTTCGACTTATCCTGGTATAATCTGCTCCATACCTTGACTTCTGGGGCATGTCTCTGTGTTGCCTCGGAATCAGAACGACGAGACGATGTGGCAGGCTGCATCAAGCGCTACAACATGACATATGCTCAGCTCACACCAACCCTCGCCCGCGTGCTAGGCCGTGCCGCCCTGTCGGGGCTGAACACTTTGGTACTTGCGGGAGAGGCTGTGCTGCCAACAGATGTAAACCTCTGTGGACCTGATACGCATGCCATCAATGTTTATGGCCCCGCTGAGTGTACGCCTTGCTCAACGATCGGAGACTTGAAGAAGGATGGCCCTGTCATTGGCAATGGACTCGGATTGCGAACGTGGATCGTGGATCCTGTCGACGGGCGTAAACTGATGCCAATTGGTGTCGTTGGTGAACTTTGGTTGGAAGGGCCTCTTGTCGGCCAAGGCTACGCCAACGACCCTGATGCAACAATGGCAGCATTTGTTGAGGATCCCCCCTGGCTCCTTCACGGGGGGCCTTCGAGTTCAGGACGGAGTGGTCGTCTGTATAAGACAGGTGACCTTGTACGCTACGATGCGGATGGACTTCTGATCTTTGTTGGGCGCAAGGACACCCAAGTCAAGATCCGAGGTCAACGAGTCGAGCTAAGTGAAGTAGAGCATCACGTGCGGAACACCCTCGTGGACGGACAAGATACTCGATCGGCACAGATCATAGCTGAAGTCGTTGTGCCAGAAGGAAGCGAGAATCCGACTCTTGTGGTCTTTGTCAGCTTAAGTGGCAGTGATGGCACTCCCGTCACTGACAAGGACCTTCTAGATCGCACGGTTGGCCGTATGACAGCCGGAATTGATTCTAGTCTGAGCGACAAGGTGCTTATTTATATGATTCCGTCCGCCTATATCCCAATTGAAACTGTACCAGCAACGGTAACAGGCAAGACTGATAGACGAAAGCTGCGTCAGCTCGGGGCATCGTTTACAGCGCAGCAGCTGAGCAATCTGGCATTATCACATATCAAACAACAACAGGTGGAAACAGTGACTGAAAAACAACTTCAAACTCTCTGGTCCACTATCTTGAACATAGATAGTGCTAGGATCGGTGTCAATGATAGTTTCCTGCGGCTTGGTGGTGACTCGATTGGAGCGATGAGGCTCGTCGCTGCTGCACGCAATGAAGGACTGTTACTCTCAGTTGCGGACATATTCCAGAACCCAACGATTGGTGCCCTCTCAAAAGTTTTGGAAGGGCAGCAGGCGAAGGATATCACTCCTGATGAAGTCATCCCCGCCTTCTCCTTGCTCTCTCCGCCCCAAGAAGCAGACCTTGTACGAATGCAAGTCGCAGCACTTTGTGGAACCAGCCACGATGTGGTCGAGGATGCATTTCCATGCACCCCCCTTCAGCAAGGGCTCTTAGCACTCACGGAGAAGCATGCTGGTGATTATATTGCGACTCTTGTTTTCGAGCTCCCAAGCGATGTTGACATCGCCCGAGTGTGTACCGCATGGAGTCAAGTTGTTGCAAATACACCCATTCTACGAACTCGAATCGTAAACTATCCAGGAAAAGGCCTCGTACAAGTCGTTCTAAAAGAAGAGGTAGAATGGACTACAGTGGAAGACCATGGCGACTTGAACGAATATCTCAAGGACCCAGCCCGGCTACATATGGGTCTTGGTGTCAGTCTCAGTCGATTCGGTGTTGTTCTTGGGGGCTTTAGCAATAAACGCTATCTAGTGTGGACTATTCATCATGCTCTTTACGATGGTTGGTCGTTACAATTGCTCACCAAAGCTGCCGAGACGGCTTATTTTCATGGATCGCCTCCAACACTGAGACCGTTTCAACCTTTCATCAAGAGACTCGAGCAGATTAGTCAAGAAGAGTATTCTTCATATTGGAGTGACGAATTCTCTGGCTCGGAAGCACAGCAGTTCCCGCAGCTTCCATCCGCCAATTACCACCCAAACCCACAAGATACACTGCAGTACCAGGTGACAGACTTGAATTGGTCAAGAAACAACTTCACCCCTCAGACCATGCTACGAGGAGCGCTATCCGTTGTCATGGGGCAACTGAGCGACTCGCAAAATGTAGTCTTTGGAGCAATACTATCAGGAAGACAGAGTTCTGTTCCAGGAATTGAAGAGATGGCAGGGCCTACTATCTCAACTGTGCCCGTACGGGTGAAGCTGGACTGGGAGTCCGATCTGGAGCATACTTTATATGCTATACAAGACCAGGCTGTGCGCATGATCCCATATGAGCAAGCCGGCCTGCAACGAATAAGTAGGGTGAGCTCCGAGGCTGAGCAAGCCTGTCGATTCCAAACTCTGTTAGTGGTGCAGCCTGCTCAAGATGAGATTGGTGGCAACAAGCTTTTTATCCCCCAGGACCAGGATGCTCTCAAAAGTGACAGTATCGAAGTCGACCTCGGTGCTTCTCCCAACTATGCCTTAATAATAGAGTGCCAACTTGAAAAGAACGGAGTTAGTATCGAGTTGAGCTATGATCGCAACGTCATCGGTAGTGTCGAGGTTCGCCGCATGGCCGAACAGTTTGGCCATGTCCTAAGACAATTTTGCGAGAAGCAAGCGATCAATAAGACACTTGCGGATATAGATATGGTTACACCTCAAGACCTGAAAGATATATGGAGGTGGAACGCAGCTGTGCCAGAGGTTTCTGCGGTCTGTGTCCACGACTGCTTGAACGAAATGACGAAACTTCGGCCGCAAGCACCCGCAATCTGTGCGTGGGATGGATCTCTGAGTTATGCAGAGCTATGGGAACTTTCCTCTTATTATGCACTACTGCTGGTAAGTCTCGGAGTTGGCCCTGGCGATGTGGTGCCGCTCTATTTTGAAAAGTCGATGTGGACGCCTGTGGCGATGCTGGCCGTCATCAAAGCCGGTGGTGCTTTTGTCGCCGTAGACACGACACAGGCCACATCTCGTCTGAAGACAATTGTTGAGGAGATCAAACCGAGAGTTGTACTGTCTTCTACAAAGAACAGAAAAATAGCAAGTCATTTGGGTAAGCACACGATTTTGGTGGTGGATAAAGAGCATTCAATGCAGTATGATATCGCTCAAAATTCTGTGTTACCCGCTGTCGATCCTACCAGCACAATGTACATCATTTTCACATCCGGTAGCACTGGTCGACCCAAGGCGGTGGTTCTGGAACACCAAGCAGTGGCTACAAGCTGTCGCAGTTATGGAAAAGTCATGGGCCTGAGCCAGGACTCCAGGGTCCTACAATTTGCATCTTACGCGTTTGACGCATGTATCATGGAGATTTTCTCGACGTGGTTACATGGTGGCTGCGTCTGTGTGCCATCCGAAGACAACAGGATTGCCGACCTGGCCAGAACAATGGAGTCCATGGCAGTCAACACAACCCTACTCACCCCTTCCGTTGCGCGGCTTCTGGATCCTACGAAAGTGCCGACCCTGACGACCTTGATATTAGGAGCAGAAGCCCCGTGGGAGTCAGATTATGAGCGATGGCGCGGACTGCCTAAACTCTTTAATGCTTATGGGCCTGCAGAGTGCGCCGTGATTCACTCAGTCCGAACATGGACAAATAAGAAGTTGTCACCAAAAACGATTGGGAGGGCAGTAGGATCTTGTAGTTGGATTGTCGACCAGAAAGATCACACCAAGTTGGTTCCTATTGGAACAGTAGGAGAGCTTCTGGTGGAGGGACCTATTCTGGCCCGCGGGTATTTGAACAACTCGGAGAGCACGGCACAATCCTTTGTCCACGATCCGGTATGGCTGGTCCAGGGAGCTCCTGGTTACGAGGGGCGGCGTGGCCGTCTATACAAGACTGGAGATCTGGTTTATTATAACTCAGATGGCTCTTTAGTCTTCGTCGCTCGCAAGGATACGCAAGTCAAGGTTCGCGGCCAGCGCGTTGAACTCGGAGACGTTGAGCATCATGTCGAACAGGCACTCGTGCTTGATACTCAACACGATTTAGAGCCAAGCCCTCGTCCACAGGTGGTCGCTGAGGTTATTCGTCCCCAAGCAAACAGTAACTCGATGCTCGTCGTCTTCGTTGGCCAGAATCTGCATGGAATTTCTGACATTAATGAGGACGCTTGGGCCAGGACTGTCATGCGTATGACAGCTGACATTGAAAAGCGACTGGCAGACGAAGTGCCGTACTACATGGTACCAACGGCTTATATACCATTGCAAAGTATTCCGATTACAGGGACGGGTAAGACTAACAGAAAGAAGCTTCAAGAACTTGGAATGGAGCTCACCCCGCAGCAACTCAGCGCGTTAACCTCGTCATCTACTGGCTTGCGACCTGTAGAGACTGAATTGCAGAGGCGACTCCAAGTTCTTTGGGCGACAGTTTTGGCCGTTGATAGCAACATTATAGGCCTAGAAAGCAACTTCATGCGTATCGGTGGTGATTCGATCAGCGCCATGCAATTGGTTGGTGCTGGCCGTGATCAAGGACTGTCATTCTCAGTCGCCGACCTTTTCCGACATCCAAGACTGGAAGAATTCGCAACCACCGTGCAGACCGACGGTGCTGAAACTACTGGAATGGAAGTCATTCCAGCCTTCTCTCTCCTGAACTGCCGCATGACCGAGCCATTGAAAACCGAGGTGGCAGGTCTTTGCTCTGTCAACGCCATGGACATTGAAGACGTGTTGCCCTGCACGCCGCTTCAGCAAGGTTTGATGGCGCTTACGGCAAAGCGAGCGGGCGATTATGTGGCAACAATTGTCCGCAGGATTCCTAATAATATTGACCACAAGCGGTTACGTAAAGCATGGAAGCACATTGTTGCAGCTACTCCTATACTACGGACGCGGTTAATCGATCTACCGGGACATGGAATTGTTCAAGTAGTATTCAACGAAGAACTAGACTGGGTAACAAGTAACGATCTGGATCTATATCTGGAAGACGGTAGACAACGCGAAATGGTTCTAGGAGCATGCCTGAGTAAATTCGCTGTTGCTTCCACCCAAGATTCTAGCCAACACTACCTCGTGTGGACGATTCACCATGCTCTCTATGACGGATGGTCAATGCAGCTCATCCTTGACGCCGTGAAGAGAGCATACCAGACTGGTGCTAACGATTCGCTGATTATGCCATTCACACCAATGATCAAGCATGTGATCGATCTTGATGACAACGCTGTGAAGGCATTTTGGGAAAAACAGTTTGCAGGCTCTGAGGGACACTTGTTTCCAACTCTTCCAACAACATCTTACCACCCTAAATGTACGAATCGATTTTCTTCCAGTTTAGAAAAGCTTCAATGGGGAACCAATGATATCACGGCCTCTAACATCATTCGAACTGCCTGGGCAATCCTAGTTTCGGGATATACTGGTTCTAATGATGTCGTTTTCGGGGCAACTGTCACAGGACGGCAGACGCCTCTTATGGGGATCGAGCGAATGGCCGGGCCTACTATTGCCACCGTTCCTGTAAGAGTGGTATTAAACCCAAATGAGACTCTGGAGGCCAATCTCTACAACATGCAGATGCAAGCGGTAGATATGATCCCTTTTGAGCAAACCGGACTTCAACGTATCAGTCAGGTCAGTTTGGAGGCCAGCGAAGCCAGCCGTTTCCAAACTCTATTGGTCGTACAACCCGTTGGGGAGGATTCCAAAGAGTCCAGCCTCTTTCAAGCTGCAGAAGATACTCCGGCAGACGGAGACAGTTTTATAGAACACAACTCGACACTTACACATGCCCTAGTTGTTGAATGTTGTCTTGAGGCTGCCGGGGCTCGATTTTATTTTAACTATGATCCCAATGTCGTCAGCCAAGTACAAGTTCATCAAATGTCAGGTCAACTACAACATTTGGTTCGACAAGTCCTGACAGAGAGTAACAGATCAAAGAGTCTGAACAGTCTCGAAGTCGTGAGCACACAGGATTTAAGCAAGATTTGGGCATGGAACTCAACTTTTACCGAATCTAACAACATCAGCGTCCCTGATCTACTCACGGGTGCGCCGCACTATAATGCAGAGGCGTCGGCAATCGATGCCTGGGATGGGAAGCTGAATTATTCCGAATTGGATAAGCTCTCTACACGCTTGGCTTGTCATCTGATCAGCCTTGGAGTGGGTGCTGATATGCTGGTACCTCTGTGTTTTGAGAAATCCGTCTGGACTCCAGTAGCGATGCTAGCAGTAATAAAAGCTGGCGCTGCAGCTGTGGGAATGGATGTCACTCAGCCTGAGACACGGCTCCAGACAATTGTACAACAAACCCAACCGGTAATGATTCTCTCTTCAGCGGCAAACGAGGAACTCGCGCGGCGGCTGAGCAACAACTGCCGTATTGTTGTCGTAAGTGAAGCCAGTCTGGACCTTTTAGGTTCTCAGCCTCAAACTCAGCTACCGCGTATCGACCCTTCAGATGCACTTTGTGCGATCTTTACATCTGGCAGCACCGGGATGCCCAAGGGCGTTGTCCTAACGCACTCCAACTTTGCAACTGCCATTCCTCACCATGTTAAGACCTTTGACTTGAAGCCTACCAGTAGAGTCTACGACTTTGCTTCCTATGCTTTCGACTTCTCCTGGTCGAACCTTCTCCTTACCTTATACTCGGGAGGCTGCATCTGCATTCCGTCTGAAGACGAGCGAAGGAACGAAGTCGCTCAATCAATTCAGCGTTTCAAAGCGAATTTTGCTTTCTTTACCCCTTCAGTTGCCCGTATTCTGGACCCTGCTGCGTTGCCAACTCTTGAAACTCTAGTCGTCGGAGGAGAAGCTCTGAGTAGAACAGACTTCGTCTCGTGGCCAGACAGGATCAAAATAATTAGTGTATATGGACCAACAGAATGTACTGTAATGGCTACAACTCTAGAGGTTCTACCAGGCCAGGAGCGTAAGAATGGTTTGGGACGCGCTATAGTGAGCACTACCTGGGTCGTTGAGCCCAACAAAGGCATTTCATTAGTGCCGATTGGGGCAGTGGGTGAACTGTGGCTTGAAGGTCCCTTGGTCACGCGCGGCTATCTGAATGCCGCAGACAAGACAAACGAAACATTCGTCCTCAACCCTTCCTGGTTGGTTGAAGGGATTCCGGGCAAACCGGGAAGAGTGGGACGGCTGTTTAAGACGGGAGACTTGGTAAGATGCAACCCTGATGGCTCCTTGACATTCGTGGGGCGCAAAGACACGCAAGTAAAGCTACGTGGTCAGCGTGTCGAATTAGACGAAGTCGAACATCATGTTCGAGAAGCAATAATGGCGAAGAACACTGATTTTGACATTTGGGCTGGCGTACAGCTGATTGCTGAAGTTATTACCCCAGAAGGCAGCGAACATTCTACCCTTGTGGTTTTCATTCATGCCGGTGAAGGCAGCGACAACTCCAAAGATATCCAGCACATGACTGCGGGTATAGATGAGCATCTTAGCCAGGTGGCGCCGGTTTACATGACACCGACTGCCTACATTCCGCTTGATAACCTTCCCGTGACAGCTACTGGGAAGCTAGACCGGAGACAGTTGCGTAAGCTGGGTTCGACTCTATATCATAGCCATGTTGAAATAAACAACAATACTCATCACCTGCCACCCTCCAACAGACTACAAAACACCATTCAGGAAATTTGGGCCGACGTTTTGAACCTTCCTCGAGCAAGTATCTCGATCGACGCGCCCTTCACAAAGATTGGTGGCGATTCAATTACTGCTATGCAGGTTGTGTCTCGATGTCGTGCCAAGAACCTTTCCATCACAGTCGGAGATATCCTCAGGGCCAGAACAATTGAGAAGTTGGCGTTATGCTGTCAGCCAGTCAGACAGGAGCGACTCGCACTGCATCAGCATGTAAATGGACGCGCATGGACTTTGTCGCCAGCACAGCAAATGTTTTTCGATGCTCACCCAGAGGGTCTGAATCATTTTAATCAGAGCTTCATATTGAGACTTATGAGGCCTATTTCAGCTGCCGAGCTAGAGATGGCAGTAAAGGCTGTCGTATCCCGCCATCCCATGCTTCGCGTCCGCTTTCGGCAGGGCTTGAACGGAAAATGGGAACAAATTGTTCCCACAGATGAATCGACCGAATCGATGTTTACACATCATGACTCATGTTCTCGAGAAGAAGCAAAGATAGCCGCCGATAGTCGCCAAGAATCATTGGACATCGTCAACGGACCCCTTTTTACTGTTGATTTGTTCTCTATTCACGGTGAAGACCAGGCTGTCCTGCTCACCGCGCACCATCTTATCGTTGATCTAGTATCGTGGCGAATTATATGGCATGATATTGAACAACATCTTCAAGTCGGGCAGCTGCCTTCCCATAGCTCGCTTTCTTTCCAATCGTGGTCTGAACTACAAGCTCAAGCAAGCTATTCATTGCAACTATCTGATGTGCTTCCTTTCCCAGCTGTTCCTCCCACCAACTTTTCCTTTTGGGGCATGCAGTCCAGTGAAAACGATTTTAGAAATTGTCAAGTTTACAGTTCTCTATTGAGCGAGATGGACACTACATTATTACTAGGAGAGAGCAATGAGTGTCTTAGGACTGAACCGGTTGACCTGATCCTAGGAGCACTAATACACTCTTTTGGACAGGTGTTTCCTGATAGAGAGGTCCCTCCAGTCTTCCTCGAAGGACACGGAAGAGAGCCCATCGATGATATCGAAGCGGATCTTTCAGAAACAGTCGGGTGGTTTACAACTCTGCACCCTATCCAGATTCCAAACGCACACGGCTCCCTATGTGATACAGCCAAGTTCACAAAGGACATTCGACGACAGATTCCCGGCAAAGGACGACCATACTTTGCCTACCACTACCACAGCAAGGAAAGTCTCGAGATAGACCAAGTACATCAAGCAGCCGAGATCATCCTCAATTACACCGGCAAATATCAACAGTTGGAAAATCCCAATGCACTCTTCAAACCGGAAGACAGGGCGGCAATTGCTCATTTAGTGGACATCTCCCCAGCAGCCCATAGATTTGCCTTGATTGACGTCAGTGCAGACGTAGATCAAGGAAGGTTGTCAATCACGTTTCGGTACAAACAGCAGATGAAACACCAAGCCAGGCTTCAGAAGTGGTTACAGATTTTCGAGCAAACCTTGAAGCAGCTTGCTCATAACTTGGCCAAGAAGGCAATGGAGTTCACTCTGAGTGATTTCTCTCTTCTAAGCATATCTTATCAAGGTCTTGACGTTCTCTTCCAGAATAGACTCCCCGCTCTGGGTGTGAGCGCTGAAGATGTGCAGGACATCTATCCCTGCACAGCTGTTCAGGAAGGAATTCTCCTTAGTACAAGAAAGGGTGCGGCTTCATACGCAAACTACTGGGTTTGGAACTGCGTCTCGTCAATTGAGGACAAACCCTCGCCATTGAGACTTGAAGAAGCCTGGAGAACTGTAGCTCGAAAACATCCTATACTTTCCACGATTCTAGTTGAGCATCCAGATACTGGTGGCTTCATACAGGTTGTGCGAGGTGGTCTTCGTCATCGCGTCAATCACTTATCCACGGCCGCGAACAATCCTGCTGATGTTCTCTTTGAGCAACCAGACGTATCATATCATCCTGGCGAGCCCTTGCATACTTTCACGATTTGCCATGGAGCAGACAACAGTGTTGCTTGTAGGTTAGATATTAACCATGTGCTTATGGATGCTGCATCCATGCAAATACTTCTGGACGACCTCACAAGATCCTATCATGGTTATCAACTAGAAGAAGCCCCGTCATTCCGCGACCTTGTTCAGAGTCTCGGGAGTGTAGCCAAGGCTGAGAGGCTCCAGTACTGGACCAGATTCCTCGGACGGGTTTCGCCATGCAAATTCTCCAATATTATGCCAGTTGATCCAGCTTCACATACTGGCTCCCACAATGTTGTCAATCTGCCCCTTGAGTCGACGGCTGGAATTGAAAAGTTCTGCAAATCAAATGGCATCACTCGCTCGGTCTTCTTGCAGGTTGCCTGGGCTTTGGTGTTATGGCACTATACTGGAATGCGTGAGATTTGCTTTGGATATATGGCATCTGGGCGAGATGCCCCAATCGCTAACATTGACAAAATGATCGGACCTCTAATCAATATCCTTATCAGCAGAATTGATTTGCGTTTGTCTCTTGATAAAGCTTTAGTAGCTACATCTGATCAGTCTATTGAGCATTTGGATTATCAACATGCTTCACTTGCGGAGATTCAGCACGAGCTGGGCATTGGATCTCAGCAACTTTTCAACACGGCCATCACAGTGAGAGAAGGCACCAGTTCGAAGAACAGAAGTCTGGGTACGGTTGAGTTCCAAGAGGTCCATAGTGACGACCCACATGAGGTAAGATTACAAACCGCACGTCAGTAATTTCATAGGTCTAATTGAATTTTAGTTTGATGTGATTCTCGGGGCAAGTCTATATGGGGCCGACACAGCGGTTAGCATCAGTTATCAGACGTCATGTCTTGGGGCGGCTGGTGCTGAAGAGTTGTGCTCTATTCTCGTCAAAGCCATTGACTTTATTCAAAGCAGCAACACAGTTTCAGAGTCTAATTTTCAGACTCCGACGGCTACTAATACGGAATTCCCATCGACAGACCGTGTTGGTGCGACAGCTGGAGATACGACAGCCGATTCGCAACCATTGCACAGAGCGTTCTTCGAGTATACTGCTGGTGTCGATGAAGATCTAGCGATGAACTACTGGAAGACCAAATTCAAAGACTTCCGTGGACAGACCTTCCCGACGATTTACCCATCTGCTCAAGCGCAGCGTCACCGCAGAGAATCTCTCACACACTTCATTGAGAGCTTGCCCTGGAATAGTTCAGTGTCATCTGCGACCGTAATCCATACGGCTTGGTCAATTCTAGTCTCTAAGCTTACCGCGAGCAGTGAGGTTGTCTTCGGTGTCTTACGTCACGATCGCATGTCTGTGGCAAGTGGCGTGGCTGTGCCAGTTGGAGTAGCCTTAAACTGGGAACTCACCGTGGCAGAAGTATTGGAAGGTCTGGAACGACAAACAAAGGAGAGCCTTCCTTTCGAGGGCGTCGGACTGAATCTTATCCGTCAAGCGTGTGTCGCGGCTGAGGAGTCTTGTCAGTTCAAGACTCTTTTGGTGATGCATGACTCAGCCAACAGAGATGCTGCTGCCGTGTACAACAAATCGACGGGATATCCCTTTGAAGTAGAATTCCAGCCACAAGAATCTGGTCTAATCATTGAATTCAGCTTCAGTCTAGAAGCACTACAGTCTGTGGAAGTGCGTCGGATAGCTCATCAGCTTGAGCACATTCTGAGACAGCTTTGCAATGCGGATAATAATACCAAGGCCTTACGGCAAATACAAGCCATTGGCCAAGATGACCTTCAAAGCATTTGGGAATGGAATTCCGCGTTGCCAGAGGCCGTCGACCTTTGTGTCCATGACCAGATTTCCTCTTCAGCCCATCAACGGCCAACGGCAACTGCTGTTTATGCTTGGGATGGTCAGTTAACCTACACGCAACTTGATGAGCTCTCTAATCAACTCGCTCGCTACCTGGTCAGCATCGGGGTGAAGTCTAGCGTCATCGTACCCCTGTGTTTTGAAAAGTCGATGTGGACTTCAGTCGCTATGCTGGCAGTGATGAAAGCAGGCGGAGCGTCTGTAGCTTTAGATATAACACAGCCCAGGGCACGGCTCAAAACGATTGTGGATCAAGTGAAACCTATTGTCATTCTATCATCAACAAAGAATAAGGATCTGTCCTACGCGTTGGGTGTCTGCGAGGTGGTGCTTGTGAGCAAGGAGGAGCTAGCCAAGTTACCATCTAGCCTTTCATGCCTCGGCCTACCAACGATCAGCCCTGACAACACCTTGTACATTGTCTTCACCTCCGGAAGCACCGGTACGCCAAAAGGAGTTATCTACACGCATAGGAACTTCAGCAGCGCTATCAAATATCAGCAGGAGGCACTTAGAGTCACCTCGAGTTGCAGAGTATTTGACTTTGCATCATATGCGTTCGATATAGCTTGGTGTAACTTTATACACACCATGGTTGCTGGTGGCTGCCTATGTGTCCCATCCGAGGATGATCGAAAGCAAAACATCACCGCTTCAATGGCCAAGCTCGGCGTGACATATGCTCACTTGACCCCTACAGTCGCCCGTATGATCAACGTTGATGAAGTGCCCGACTTGGACATTATGTGCTACAGTGGCGAGGCTCTTCATTTAGCAGATCTTCCCAAAGAAAGAAAGTTGAAGAGCCTTGTCAACGTATATGGGCCTGCAGAAACAAATATTGTGACGACGGAATCAGTAGATCCATACACCGTTTCAGAGCCGAGCATTGGCAAGGGCGCCGGGGCGAACACTTGGGTTGTAGATCCAGACAACCCCGATCAGCTAAGTGTAATTGGTGCAGTAGGAGAACTTTGGCTAGAAGGCCCTCTAGTCGGGCAAGGATACCTGAGCGATGCGGAGAGAACCAGCAAGGTCTTTGTTGAGAACCCTTCCTGGCTTACGCGTGGTAACGGGCCTCGTTGCCCCGGAAGACAAGGCCGTCTCTACAAAACTGGTGATCTAGTACGTTATAATCCGGATGGGTCTTTGGCATTTATCGGCAGGAAAGATACTCAGGTGAAGATACGTGGCCAGCGTGTTGAGCTCGATGAAATAGAGCTTCATGTCCAGAACACGTTGAAACATGATGATACGGTCGGCCAGACTCAAGTTGTGGCAGAAGTCATCACTACACCAGAAACCAGTAACCAAACTCTGGTTGCTTTCGTCTGTATGGCGACGGTCGACGCTGAGCCTACGGACGAGCAATCATGCAACCAAGCTGTTTGGCGGGCAACCGCTGGTATCGAAGAGAGGCTGGCCAGCAAAGTCCCGATATACATGATCCCTACGGCGTACGTCCCAATGAGAAGTATTCCGATGACTGCTACCGGTAAAACGGACCGGCGACGACTGAGGGAGCTAGCGATGGAACTAAGCCAACGACAACAACTGACGACTGTGGGCTTCACTCGCGAATCCGTGTTACCAATGGAGACGGAAATGGAACGCAAACTACAGCAGCTATGGGCAGATGTATTGAGTATCAATGTCGACAGCATTAGTGCCGATGACAGCTTCTTACGTATCGGCGGTGACTCGATCGGGGTCATGAAGCTGGTTGCTGCCGCTCGTCAACAGAGCCTCTCACTTTCTGTCGCCGATGTATTTCGACATCCTAGATTGAGAGAGCTGGCAAAGCAAATTGAGTTGGACGATCCTGTTACTCAAGAACACATCCCCGTATTTTCACTTTTGAAACCAGGAACCGTGGAAAAAAAGGTACGTGCTGACGTTGTTGGCCTCTGTCGCGTTAGTCTTCACGAGGTGGAAGATGTGCTGCCGTGCACTCCACTCCAGGAAGGGTTGCTCGCCCTCACAGCAAGGCGTCCAGGCGACTATGTAGCCGTTGTGGTGCTCGAACTTCAAGAGAATGTTGACCTTGGGTTATTCCGCCAATCGTGGCAGCAAGTAATTGCAGCTACACCCATATTACGAACACGGCTAGTCGACCTGCCTGGACAGGGTTTCGTACAGGCTGTATTGCGTGAGGCAATGGACTTTGTGCTCGTTGACAATCTCGATTCTTACCTCGGGGAAAATGTCGGACAACAGATGGGTGTTGGGACTCGCCTTTGCCAGTTAGCCGTCGCCACTGATCAGGATGACGGACGTCGCCATTTCATCTTGACCATTCATCATGCTTTATATGATGGCTGGTCGTTGAAACTCATATTCAAGGCTGCGCAAGATCTGTACATGAAGGCTCCCATGCCGACTATGATTCCATTTGCATCAATGGTTAAATACATGGCTGGTATCGACCAGGAATCCGCCATGACATTCTGGAAGGAAGAATTTCTCGATTCAGGGGCTTCTCAATTCCCGGTGTTACCTTCAGCAACTTACCACCCTCGCTCTACCAATCAACTATCATTGGCCATTAAAGGTCTTGAATGGGCGGGCAGTGACTTCACCGCCTCCAATCTCATACGCACAGCTTGGTCGATCCTGGTGGCTAGCTATACTGGCGATACTGATGTTGTCTTTGGGGCGGTTGTCACAGGGCGCCAAGCTTCAGTCTCGGGAATCGAGCACATCGTAGGGCCTACAATTGCTACCGTACCGGTTCGAGTGCCTGTGAACCGGCAGGTAGCCTTGGAACAATTACTCGATGTCGTGCAAGCAAAGGCTGTAAATATGATTCCATTCGAGCAGACTGGTTTACAACGAATTCGTCAGGCCAGCCTAGAAGCAGAGGAAGCCTGCCGTTTCCAGACTCTACTAGTAGTGCAGCCAACGGGGGATGATCATGACTTCGGAGACGGTCATCTTTTCCAACAGCATACTGCGTCGGCCAACCCAGACGGAGAGTCGGGCTATAATGCATTACTTACATATGCACTCGTACTAGAGTGCCATTTGAGTACGACGGGGATGTCGTTACATGTCGGATATGATCCGCATGTTCTGGATGACGAGCACGTACGTCAAATTGCCAAACAATTCGACCATATTCTACACCAAGTGTGCCTAAAGGAGAACCAAGCTAAAAGCCTTGGAGAAATCTCAACAATTAGTAGTGAGGACCTCGATCAAATATGGAAGTGGAATGCGGATGCCCTGCAAGCAGTTGAGACTCCCGCTCATGACTTATTCGCCAAGTTAGCACTTCGCCAGCCAGATGCATCCGCTGTATGTGCTTGGGACGGTGATTTGACCTATGGACAACTTGATGATTTGTCCACACGCTTAGCACATTATCTCATTGAACGAGGTATAGGGCCAAACACCACGGTTCCGCTATGCTTTGAGAAATCCATGTGGACTCCTGTAGCGATGATGGCTGTGATGCGAACGGGTGCGACATCTGTTGCTGTCGATGTCTCCCAGCCTGAGGAACGTCTTCACACAATCATACAACAGGTTTCGCCTACAATAATACTAGCATCAGAAATGAACGAGGGTTTAGCAACTAAGCTTGGTAAAGGAAGATGCCCTATCGTCGTGGTGAGCAACAAGAGAATGCTGCTCTACCCTCTTCGACCCGACATCACATTCCCAGAAATAAACTTGGCGAGCCCGCTTGCTATTATTTTCACTTCGGGCAGCACAGGAAAACCCAAAGGTGTAATTTTGACCTATTCAAATGTAGCAACTGCTATGAAGCACCACGTCAAAGCCTTTCATATTGGCCTAGATAGCCGCGTTTACGACTTTGCCTCTTACAGCTTTGATTTTGCCTGGTCTAACCTATTGCTTCCGCTCTCTGTTGGCGGTTGTGTTTGTGTTCCCTCTGAAGAACAACGAAAGAATGATCTTGGCCAGTCTATCAATGACATGGCGGCAACTTTTGTGTTCCTAACTACATCTGTTGCTCGAGTTCTTGACCCTTCACGGCTACAATTGCTGCGTACGATTGCCATTGGAGGTGAAGCATCCCAAAAGGCCGACTTTGAGAGGTGGCCTGATTCCCTTAGGCTCTTGCACGTTTACGGCCCGACGGAGTGCACAGTCATAGCAACCTGTGGTGAGATTCGAGCAGGGCAGGAAAATACCGAAAGTATTGGTTGGGGAGTGGGCACCACAACCTGGGTAGTGCAACCAACAAATAACGACTACCTATCACCTGTCGGTGCAGTAGGAGAACTTTGGTTAGAGGGGCCTCTTGTCTCGCCTGGCTATCTTAACGAACCAGAGAAGACAGCTTTGTCTTTCACCAACGACGTGCCTTGGTTGTTACGCGGCGGACCAAACTGCTGTGGACGCCGCGGTAGGCTCTACAGAACTGGGGATCTGGTACGATACAATCCAGATGGATCTCTAGTGTTCGTCGGACGCAAAGATACACAAGTCAAGATCAGAGGTCAGCGAGTCGAACTTGCTGAGGTGGAGGACACTGTTCGGCGGACATTGATCGAAACGAGTGAATTGGCCCGCATACAAGTGGTGGCAGAGGTCATCACGCCACAAGAAAGCTCCCATCCCACTCTCGTAGTCTTCATATGCGAGAAAAACGATGGCTCTCTCAGCCAGACGATACACAACATCGACATTCAAGCTACCATAGAAGGCCACCTAGCCGTGAAGTTGCCAAGATACATGATTCCAACAGCATACATACCTCTCGAAACTCTGCCAATGACAGTTACTGGAAAAGCAGATCGTCGAAAGTTACGGGAAATTGGCAGCTCACTGAGCTTGGAGCAACTAACAAGGTCCAAATCATCGGTGAGACAGAGTCGATTGCCAGAGACAGATACGGAGAGATGGTTGCATGACGCTTGGGCAACAATACTGGGTCGTGATCCATCAACAATAGGTATTGATGATCACTTCTTCCACGCTGGTGGCGATTCCATTCACTGCATGCGTTTGGTACTCTCTGCCCGAGAGCAGGCTTACGATCTGAAAGTCGTTGACATATTCCGACACCCAATCCTTGCTGATCTGGCCCGGCATTGCGAAGAGTTACATGCGGAGACAAGAATTTCTGACCCGCTGCCGTTTGCGTCGCTCGATGTAGGTGATGTCGATAGTTTCATCGGGATGAACATATCGCCTCTCATACAAGAGCACCATTCCAAGATTTCCAACATCCTTCCTGTGTCCGATTTTCAAGCAGCCTGTATTGAAAGTGCACTGCAACCCGATTACAGCGGTTGGTTCCATTTTTACCTGGACTTCCCAGAGTCTGTTGATACAGAGAGGTTGAGGAATAGCTGTCTGCAGCTTACCGAGCATTTCGATATTCTTCGCACCGTGTTTATTCGATTAGACACGGAGTTACTACAGGTTGTCTTGGAAGGTCTTCGCCCGTGCATAGACTTATATGAATCATGCGATCTGAACATTGAATCTCTGTTCGAACAAGTCTGCGTCGAAGCGATGAAACATCCTGCTGTTCTCGGGACGCCATTTCTACGCTTCATCTTTCTGAGAGGTTTTAATAACTCTTTTCGTCTTGTTCTCCAACTTTCGCATGCCCAATACGATGGCCTCAGCCTTCCGCAAGTCATGGCTGCATTAACCGCATTCTACAATGGGCAAACACTCCCGAAGGCGCGCAGTTTCTCAAACTATATTGCGCATGTGAGATCCCAGTCTCAGGGTGATGACTCCCGCAATTTTTGGCGGACTCTTTTGCATGGATCCAAAATGACCATGTTGTCGAGAAAGAGAGAGTCAGCCACATTGCGTCAAGAGACTTCGAGCATTCGATTAGAAAGGACGATGCCGGCGTTGCAATCGCGTGATGGAGCCACTCCGGCGACTATTTTCACAGCCTCATGTGCTATCATGCTAAGCCGGATTGTTGGAGTTAACGACGTTGTGTTTGGACGCCTTGTCTCGGGGCGAGCAGGTCTGTCTCCTGACTTACAAGATCTTGTCGGGCCATGCATAAACACCGTTCCTGTGCGAGTCAGTGTGGATTCCAAGTTGACAATAGATGATGCCATGCTTGCTACTCTCCAAAAACAAATCGTCGATGCCACTCCATACGACGCCGCGAGCTTCCATGACATCGCTCAGCATTGTACAGACTGGGATGAAGCTACAAGCACCTTCCAAGTAACAACTCATTTCCGAAACATCGATGAGAGCCCAGGTGCAGATCTTGCAGGAAGCACTCATCATCTGGGCTATTTTGACAGGAAGGATTTGCCGCCCGACTTTAGAGGGATCGACATCGGTGCAGTGCCCGTGCATGGCGGCATGAACTTGGTTGTAGTTGCAAACTCTAGATATTGGGACTTTGAAACTATTTCGCAAGTTCAGGAAGTTTTGTGTGATATCTTAGGGTTATTTCTAGAGGCTTAGAGCTTTTTTGTTTTCTTTAATAAATAGATAAATTTCAAGGTTGTTGTGGTTTTTATTTCTAATTGCCTGTATTTCATACAAACGTTAGGCTTGAGAAAGGACCCTATGCTCTTTGTAGCATATTACGAGCAGTGAAATGATCATGAAACATATCCTTCATACTCGTTTTCTCCTCTTGCCACCCTATCTAATATCTTGCTTTACCAAGTAGGTCTGGAGGATAAAAATTGAGAAGAGATTCAGTGACACCGAATTCCAAGTCCATTCAGGTCCCTGGAGACTGTCTGTCACTGGGTCGGCCTTCTTTGCTATTCGACAATCACGATGGAGAATGGATTAGCCTCACCAGGCAGCTCAGACTGTGTATCCTATAAACTTTGCTAAAAGTTTCTAAGTGCTAAACAAGATAGGAGCAATTAACACCTGTACCATGGAGAAGGCCACCAATGTCTGATGAACAGACGCGAGGAATTGGGAGATAAGTGGTAGAGGTGGGCTAAACATGAGTCCACACAACCATTAAGCGCTGGTGCATTCATCATGCTCAAATCTGCCCCTCACGGGTTTCGGTCGCTCATTTGACACGGTTATGAAAGAGCGCATCTGAGCACATTGGCGTGTTTAAATGCTTTAAGAAGACTACTCAGCCGTACCCATGTAGGGTTACCCTTCGTCGGCGGCATTCATGGAGAGGTCGAAATCCTGGACGGCTATTCAACTCTTTATCTGAGTAATTAGAGTAATTAGCAGACTCTTGAATCGGCAATTCTCGCCCAGATAAACTCAGCAGCCAACCCCGAGTACTAATACCGTCCACCACCAATTTTGTGTTACATCTCAGTCTAGCGTTTTAGTGGACAAGGCTTCAAACCCGCCGTTCCTGATATATATATATATATATATATATATATACTAGTTCTGAAGGTATGCTAACTTAATTCAAGATCAAATCAATTAAGAAAAATACAACATGTCGAACCATTCGAAACAAAACTCAAGAATATTGATTGTCAGGGGCGAGATTGCTGGACGAGTTGCCATCGAAAACTTCGAGATTGACTATCTCTTGCTCAAGGTCCATGACAACATTCCTCCTACGGTAGGTGCCAGCATCGATCTTATGCGGAGAGGCTCCTCATTGTCGACGAATTAGGATGCTACGAGGCCATGAGAGTGGTGGCCCAGGATGCAGCAATGGGAGTCACGCAAATGCGAGACGAAAATGCCAAGTCATCATGCACGAGGCACATGGTCCAGCGATCACTACGATCCTGACCTGCCTGTCTGCTGCTATTACGATTGATTCTCTATTTATCTAGCCGTGGCCGTAATCTAGCTAAGAAGGAGAAGCAGCCACAACAGCAAGCCTAACGGCTTGTGGGATTTCTGACAGCCAGTCAGGCTTCCAACAGTGTATAAACATGACAGCCAAACCACCCGGACAGCTGTTAGCCCTATGGCAGCCTTAACAAGTAGCCCGGAATGTCTTAAACATGTGCTGCCAACAATAAAAGTTTTGATCATAGTGTTAGCCCTTGACAACATGTCCCAAGTACTGTCCATAAACCCTCCTGACGCGCGATGGTAGGTATCTCATGATATCGTACTTGAAGATAAGCTAGAATCTTTCTTTCCAAACACCTCAAAGTTCCACACAGCTTAGGAAATAACGTTATATCCCACGCTATATCGTTCGCGATATGCCTGATTGACCTGATCAATGACTCCATCGCTGTTCGGGGTCCATCGAAGAGAAAACCTTTGAAACCAATCCTTCACGGTAGCTAAAGGGACGGTCGCTTCCTGAATGTTGTGGAGATATCTCGCAAGATAGTCTACAGCATCATTGAGGTCGTATGATCGACCTTTGGTGATACCTCCTCCTGCCAGACGATCAACTTTACAGCAGAAGGAATAGTACCATGGGGCAGCAAGAACTGTGAGGCCAGGTTGCTGAAAGATGACTTCATTCTGGTTATAGGCTTCTTGGGACAAGCTTTGGCGTTGGTCTTGCGGGATGAAAAAGACAGTGCGGTTATTGAACCAGTCCGCCTCTAATAACTTGTTGTGTTTAGCAGCTTTTTGAGCCCCTTTTAGAAGGAGCTCGTAGTCAGTAGCTGACAGGTATTCGTTGTAGAAATCGACATCATGAGTAGCTTTACGTGATTTAAGGTGGATGGTGTTAACAGCACCTCCAACGGCGATCACGATGATATTGCTATTATGTTTATCGATGTAGGAGGCAACGGATTCTATAGCAGACAGCAACGTCTTTCGATCCAGTTTTGGCAACATAGTGTCGTTACCAGGTGTCTTTGAAGGGACCAGGTCTCTAAGTGTATCGGCACTTCGACGATGTTTCCATCTTGACCAGCTCTGACCCATTGTAGGAGAATTGAAAAGAAAAGGAGAGCAAAAAGTTGAGCTATAGAAAAGGATTTGATGCTTTGTGTGTCGAGAGATAATAGATTTAAAACAAAAATCAATTTAGAAAGAAGAAGTCTGTATTTAAAAGAATCGATCAGCTTAGTTGCAGAGAATATGCCGTCGTAATGACTGAGTTGGTCTCATCATCTTCATCTATTTCTAGCAGGCGCCTGTCTTCATTTCTAGCAGGCGCCTATCTTCATGTCTAGTAGGCGCCTATCTTCATGTGTTTCTACCAGGCGCCTATTTCATTCGACAGGAGGGTCCAGTCGGAGGTTTCAAAGTTGTGCAGCGCACGGGGGCCAGGAACGACTGGCTGTGGCCTCGTGGGGATGAGGCTTTATGATCACACTAGTCGAGATTAGAGGCACTGCCACACAGCAAGCGCTTGCGAAAGCTCATCGGTAATCACCTTGTTTTGGGGGGCCAAGCCGAAATACATCTCGCGCGGTAAGTCGTCCAATTAAAATGCATTTCTTGTAGATAATACAGGGGATGCTGTCACTCTACCTTACTGTAATTGGATGACCCATGCGACATACACAGGGGAAACAGAACGCATCACGTGACAGTCGCGTTCCTACTTGCCGTCACAAATGAACGCGGCATTTCAAATGAACTTCAATCAGCAAATCGCATCTCAAACCAATACTAAGATATTTCAAATAAGTTCGCTATGGCCTTTTATTCATTTCTCGTCCGGTGGCTCCGCAAACGCAAATCCGATCAATTACGTGATTTGCCCTCCATCTCCTGGTTGCTGGAGCATCGTGCGCAGCTCGAAGAGGATGGAGCCCTCACAAGAGGACGGAATCCCACCGCGTCATTGTACCGAATGTACGAGTACCTCGTGATTGGATACATCACTGGTCTTAGGAGCGAAATCGAATTTTTCTTCAACCAGCCCACCTGGGCTGTTTCCGCTATACCAGATCCGCAAGACCCGGACGCTGAACGTTATGCAATCCTAGCTGTCCTACCAACATATCTCGTCACTGCATTCAACCGTCTCATCGAGAAGGGTCTGCCTCGAGGCAGCCCTGCTATCATTGCTGGACCAAAGGCGGAAGAGGAACTACGAGCAAGACCCAGAGTTCTAGAAAAAACACCAGCATGGTCCCAGACCGTGGCTCCGTTGTCAAACCAGTTAATCATCCCGGACGGAGAAGGAAAGGTGCCACCTAAGCAGACATGGAGTCCTTACTTCCTGGAAATGAATATCATTGTAGAGGACCCACATGTACTCTTCGTCTAGACTACTACCTACATGTAGGTAGCTACCTAGTACAAGACCGGGCGATTAAACGGCCGTTTAATAGTTTAGTTTTTGAGAAATGCTTACCAAATTACCTAATTTGCCAGTGAACGACCTGTAAATACATAGCGAATGGTAGAAATACACTACTTAATTTAGCTTGACCAAAGGTATATACTTAATAAGACCGAGAAATGTATTTACTATCATAAATGCCTATAGCTCGCCAGCATTCACGATTATCTCAGCTTTGTTCCTCACTATCGCGTACTAGGTCAATATTCTCGTGTTGACCATACTACTCAGCCACGTCTTTTAGTAATACCGGTCAAGTCAGATCGATCTATGGAGTGTTGAAGTAGGATGGTATAGGGTTAGTCGAATTACCTACCCTATAACAAGGTGATACGACCAGCTATAAGCTCCAGCCATAAATAGAGAGATCGTTAGTTGTAGCCTCGAGATAAGCTCTTCTTCTTTAATTTTAGATCAATTCACCTCAATTCTCGTTATCTCTCGAATCCTCGATTCAGACGGAGGATCTTACATAATGCTCAAACAATCAATTACCCGTTGTTAAGCCGAGCGGATATAATGAGGCTACATGTGCCTTATGACGAAGCTTTCCTCATCATCATCATTTCCTTTTCTTAACGATGATGTTTGGCCAACGATCCTCCGGATTAGACCAGTTAATACGTCGCCCAGAGCGTAGCCTTTGGGAAGAGTTTCGCCAAAGGCCGTGCGTCTTTCTCGCCAAACAGATTTACACATCTCGGAGTCTCATTCCTGCCCAGCCAGTCTCAAACGCGGTCTCTGTTGTGTGCATATCCGACACCCATAATTATCAACCACAACTGCCTGATGGCGAAATACTCATTCACGCTGGGGATCTATCCCAGTCAGGAACATTTGATGAAGTCCAGAAAACCATCCTCTGGATACGCCAACAGCCATTCGAGCACAAGGTTGTAATAGCAGGAAACCATGATCTGATTTTGGATCCTTCTCGAGATCAACACAATAATGCTGCGAGATCCCAGCTAGAGTGGGGTGACATCATATATCTGGAGAACTCCTCTGCAACATTGACCTGCTCAAATGGTCGCCGCCTAACTGTCTACGGAAGCCCTTACTCGCCAAAGCATGGCAACTGGGCATTCCAATATCCGCGACATCATGATGTGTGGTCTGAAACCCCTTTTGGGGATATTGATATTGATATCCTTATTACTCATGCTCCACCAAGAGGACACCTTGACCTAATGTCTCTTGGCTGTACGCATCTCTTGTCAAAGTTGTGGCAAACCCGGCCGTTGCTCCACGTATTCGGGCATGTCCATGCAGGCTATGGCCAGGAATGGTTACAGTTTGATGCAGTCCAGGAAGCATACGAGAGAACCATTGTCGCTGGGGGTGGCATATTGAATCTCGTCTACCTTGCATACCGACGCTTCCTTGCTTGCTTCGAGGCCCCCATGGAGTCGCGATGCCTATTGGTTAATCCAGCAATCATTGGGGGACTCTACGATGAGAAAACAAGGAATCCCATCCAGGTTGTGATTTGATATCTGACATTCTTGGTTATACTGTCCACTGCGCAGAGGTTGGGGGAGTCACCATTTCACAGGGCAACATGATTACTGCACAACTTTGGTAGCCTATGATATCGGCTAACCACACACGGGATCCAGTAGGTCCGCAGGCGCAGCGGTGCAGAAAAGGTAGATAATGACCATAATAAGTATACTCAGGAGCCATGATTGTTGGCGCTGATGGCATAGTGTGGCCAGAAGAGAAATGGCCCGGATCTTATCTAAAACTCCGACAGCCACCTTACTAATTCCACGACGTTTGAATTTCAATGGCCTGTTTTCTACCCTATGTCCAGTATTCTCCAATGCGTCGTATATCACTAATCAGGGCTTCAGGGTTATCCAACCCAGGGAAGTTGCCACCAGACTCGTGATCTAAACGCCCATGTTAGGCTGACTCGACTTTGAGACGAGCGGTATGTTGGGTTATATTACTCACTTCTGTACTCGACCAAGTTTCCTACTGATTCCGCAATTTGACGCGGCCAATATCCAACATTATACTTGAACTGGCTGAGTAGCATCGGCGCCGTTGTAGGGGCTTTGGTGTAGAAGGAGCGAAAGGCTGTGGGATTTTGTGCATACGTAAAAATGGACGTGATGAATGATTTGGTCAAAAAGTATAGGGACACGCATCTGAGGATCTCGTTGTGTGTGAGGAGTGATGGAGGAGTCCCGGCATTGGGATTAGACCCTTAATATTTACGAGGATTAATATGTTGTGTTTTTGTGCCAAGAATGGTGCGAGAGAGCTGGTTTTCTGAGAAGACTCACACTCAATATATTTCTCCCCAATCCAAGAGAGTAAACCAATGGGGTTGTCCTGCAGTGCGAGGCCGATAGTGTTGGGCTGCAGGAGATGAAACCATCAGTTATTATGTCTTCCAATGGTATTTAGAATGACAATAAAAGTTTGCGAACTCACCTGATATTGCTGCAATAGGAAATACGCGCTACCCGTCTTACTCCATTCATCAGATCGGTTTAGCATATCCTTCTCCAACGGCGTGAGTGAAATATTCATGGCCTTAACCTGTTCCCCCGTGGGCGGGAAGAATGGAATAAAACTAAAGTGGGCTGCTCTTGTGGTGTTCGTGTAATCCTCATACAAGGTGTATGCAATGGCGGCACCATGAGACGTTCCATGGACTGCGAATTTTGGGTATCCAAGTACCTCGGTCATGAGCCTGTTGTAAAGGCGGGCCGTGTCGTCGAGAGTCCAATTTTTAGGTGCAGGAGATGAGAATGCAAAACCAGGCAGAGATGGGATTATGACATCAAAGGACACCTTCTTGTCCCGGCCTGAGTGCGAGGTGTGGACAACCGTGGTGAGTTTGTCAATGATTGGCTCAAATTCGAGGAACGAAGATCCTGGCCAGCCATGGTTGATCAATAGAGGAATCGCATCGGGGTCGCGAGACTTTGCATGAACAAAGTGAATAGTGTGGCCCTCTATCTCTGCTGTATACTGAGGGAGCCTGGACCCTGGTTATTAGCTGAATATGGATGAGGTGCTGATTGACTCACTGATTCATGTCCCGCTGCTCCGCATCCCAGTCGAACTCATCTAGCCACTGCTCCTTGAGTGACTTGACCACATCGAGATCAATCCCCAACGAGTCTCCAAGCCCTGGATACGCAGGCTGGGCAGGAAGAATGGTGTCATTGATGAATTCCAACATACGTGGGACGCCAGCGGACAGGTTTATCTGGAACGGCATCAAGTTGAAATCGCTGGCATTGGAAATGGCCGCAACAGTCACCACACCAAAAAGAACAGCTCTTCCTATAGAATTCCCCATTGCGACCATAGCTGAGTGCCCGACTAGGGATGGGCAAGATACCCGAAAATGATATCGGTGATGAGACCGTAAATTATAGGAAGAAACATCGACAACGGGAAACAGTATGATTTTTATCAAGCCTCAAGCCAAGAAATCTCCATCATTTTGTGATTGCTGATACAAGGCATGTATGGATCCCACCAATATGTCTTGACTCTTGTGATATTGCCCCAATGGGGTCGCTCTGGGGACCGGCATCCTACTTTTAAGGTCGCGCCGCTTCCATAATAGGACACACCGGACCCGAACACTGGACAGCACGCGTCTTACAAGGCCATTTGCGCTAAAGATCGGAGGCTAGTCGCTCTATTTGGCTATTATCAAGTTTCATCTGAGATCAACTCGCTACAAGCTACACTTCACTTAGGTAGCATACGAACGATAGGAAATGGCTAGTTCTATTGGTGCTCGATTCTAGTGATGCTCAATCCGTCCAGCTGCTCATATCAACCTTCTCAATAGCAAATTTCTTTGACAGAGTAACCCATGCACCCACGTACAACAGAGAGCGGAAGGCTCCAGTGTCCGCCTCATCGCCAAATGCAAGGCCCATTGACTTCTCCACCGCCTCGTAATCGACAAATCCCAATGCCTCAACAGATTCCTGAGTCAGGAGTTCAGACAACATCTTGTGTAGTGGGCCATCCCTTGGCCATTTCATTGGTGCTAAAAAGGGGTGCTTCTTGCGTTGATACAGCTCATCCGTGATGTACGGTCGCACCGCCTCCCTGAGGATCCATTTCTCCGAAAACGACGTCAATCCGGGGGCCGCCTTCTTCCACAGCGGACCTTGGTCATCTCTGCCGCCAGTTTCTGCTTCGTCGCCATTTGTCTGCTCAAGGACCTGTCTGGAAAGTGAAACCTTGACGCTTGGTGGCAGCCGGTTCACGTACTCGGTGAGATGGTGGTCAAGAAACGGGGTGCGTGCCTCGATGCTATGTGCCATCTCTGTCCGATCGCCCAGGCAGGAGAGCAGAACGTTGGATAGTGTTGCCCTGTTCCACATGTAGAGCGCCGAGTGCAGGGGATGCCAGCGCGAACGCATCTTAGCCCTCGCGTCCTGTGGGTAGGACTCAATCACCGTTTGTCTGTAGTCGAGCCCTTGAACTCTATCTCGCACCCATGGCGAAAAGAGCTGTCTCTTTGCATGCCAGACGAGTAGCGTCCATGGAACAGTGGTCTCCCCCACTTCACCCATAGCCGGGCAGTCATCCGTTGCTCCCTCGGCTGCTGCGCCCAAGTTTTGGAAGATTGCCCTCATATCCGTGTCAACTGACCCAAACAGTTTCTTCCTTATGTCTGGGTTGCTAGCCAGTACAGACTCTGGCATGGCGTAGTCTTCCTCGCGCAGAAACTCTACGGGAAAGTAGGGGTATCCCGCAAAATGCTCGTCCGCGCCCTCGCCGGTGAGAACAACCTTGAAGCCATGCTCGCGTGGCAGCGTCGAAAGAGCAAACTTAGCCACACAATTGAGATCAAAATGGTGGTGTTCGCAGTGGTATGCCGTTTCGGAAAAGTCACGAGCCAGAGTGTCCTCATTCACCTCCTTCTTGATCACTTCCAGGCCTAGAAATTCTGCCGTGCGTTCTGCGATGCTGGACTCGTCGAATCCCGAGCCGGGGAACCCGACACTAAAACAGGCGAGTCTTGGTGACTCCTGACTTCCAATCTTTACGTGATTCTCTCTTGCTAACTCAGTGACGATTCCTGCAACCGCAGAGGAGTCGATACCACCTGATAGGTAGACTCCAATAGGGACATCGGCACGGAGACGAAGACGGATACTCTCAACAAGTCGCTCGCGAACGCCGAGCACCATTTCGTCAATGGTTCTTGTCTCAACTTTTCTCTAAACTCATGGTTAGATTATAGCTTGGTAAATAAGGTTGGCGTTTCAGGGAATGATAAGACGGCAATGAGAGGAGCAGTCGTACCTTGTCTTCATATTCTGCATCCCAGTAGCGATGGATCTGGATCCCATCCTCCTCAGTGATATCTATCCAGTGACCAGGAAGAAGCTTCTTGACGCCTTGAAACAAGGTCCGGTCATCAAGCTGCCATCCAGAAGTAGCTATAGCCTTGACATCCCATCTTGCTTTCCATCCAAGTGGTAGAAAAGCTTTGGCCTCGGCTGCCATCAAGATATTTTCTCCTGATCTGGTCCAGAACAATGGTTTGATACCATATCTGTCTCTGGCAGCAATGACGCGTCTCTTTCCGCCACGTTCGTCGCAAATCACAAAGGCAAACTCGCCACGGAGGTGTTGGAAGAAATCTGGTGCACCGTAGATCTTGTACAGAGCAAGGACAAGTTCACTATCACTCTCGCTAGAGAATGTGTAGTTGTGTTGCTTTGAGCATAACTTTCGCAGCCTGTCGCAGTCGTAGATCTCGCCGTTGACGACGGCGTGAATCTGGCCGTCATCACTTGCCAGCGGCTGTCTGCCGCTGGGAGAGAGATCATTGATAGAGAGTCGGCAATGGCCTAAAGCAATTTTGGAGTCGTCGCTGATCCACATGCCTGTCTCGTCAGGCCCGCGGTGGTTGATCATGTTAATGGAAGCTTGCATTTTCTCTCTTAGTGAGCTTCTTAAGTCTCCATTGACATGCCCATTGGTATTTCCGTTTGTGTGTCCGTTTGTGTGTCCATTTGGGTGTCCGTTTGTGAATCCGTTTGGGTGTCCGTTTGTGAATCCGTTCGTGAGCCTGTTGCTTACAAGTTGTTGTGGACAAGCCACGCAGACTGTGATTCCACACATAGTGTTCTTGAACGCCCTGTTGCGGTACTAATCCAGGTTCAGAAAAACGAATATTTTTTTCTTAAAAAAAGGTGCAAAACTTCGATGGCTCAGGGACATAAAATCAGCGATAGACTTGATAAAGAATAACAATATGAGGTTGCTAATCGGAGATATTATCTCAATTGTGTTACTTAAAATGCTATTCCAAAAAGCAAAGCTCCCATGTTCAGGCAGACGGGCTTCTTCTCAGCGAGTCTTCTAACTATTCAACCCCTTCCGCTACTCTGTTTGAATTGTGCAAGTCATTTTGATCAAGTCGAGCAGCGCCGTTGCCAAAACGTATTTTCTTTGCATTGTGTTGAAATGGGGACTTCCCTTCTTGCTAGCG